CTAGCCTTGAGCAAAAAGGAACTCAGGGACAGCGCCCCAAGCCCAAAGTTCAGACCAAAGCTTTAGGACCGGGGTGGGGAGGTGGGGGGAGGAAAGCCAATTAAGGAAGGAAGGAAGGAAGAAAAAAAGAGAAAAGAAAAGAAAAGAAAGAATCCACGTAACCCCAGTAAGAAGGGCCAGCTTTAAGAACTTGAACAACAACAGATGCTGACAGGGATAAAAAAAAGGAAGCCTATTGCACTGATGGTGGGAATATAAACTGGTTCAGCCACGCTGGACAGCGGTCTGGAGGTTCCTCAAACAACTAAACCTGGAGCTTCCCTGTGACCCACTCCTGGGCATCTACCCAGAACATCACCAGCCCAGAGCCATAAAGACACCTGTACACCCACGGTCACTGCTGCACAATAGCCAAGCTGTGGAAACAGCCCAGATGCCCTGCAATAGATGAATGGGTCTATAAAATGCGATACGTGTACACAATGGAATATTACTCATCAGAAAAAATGTTTTTTATAGAGAAATGCATGGACCTAGAAAAAATTACGTTAAGTAAAGTCAGACTCAGAGAGACAAATAGTGTATATTTTCTCTCTTATGTAGAAGTTAGATCTAAAATAAAAACATGCATGATAACAAACACAGGGTTTTATGAATATATACACAAATTATATAGGATAGTCTACTGCGGGGAAGAATCCAACAGTGTAACACCTCTGAACTAACAAAGCATTGAACAAAATGAATACAAGGAAGCAGAAACACGTTCTGTTGGAGGTAGGGGGTAAAAGGAGAGGAAAGACATGAACGAAGAAGTGAGAAAATGCAGTCATCATATTCAATGTACACTATGTAAAAACTGAACTGTGTAGCTCAAGGGGTCAGAATGGGAGAGATGGGGGAGGGGGGCATCAAGAAGCATTGTACTCAAACTCTGATGCATAGAATTGAAACTCTCTGTATAACCACTTAATAAAACAAATACACTTACAAAAACAGAGTAGGAGAAAAGATTTCGAACAGACATGCTGCAAGGGCATGCTCTCCAGAAGATCATTCTAGATCTAGAGGCAGAGTAGGTTGAAAGACTGGAAAAAAATGTTGCACGTAAAGGGGAAGCAAGTGCTATAAAGAAGGCAAGATGAATGCTTACCTAGGACACCATGTGTCTGTGGAGACAGACGGATGGACACAGCCAGCAGCTGAGTTGAACACTCCTGTCTGTGGAGACAGATGGACACAGCCAGCAGCTGAGTTGCTTGATGGCTTCAGAGGTTTTGTTTGCAAGATCAGCAAGTTCTGGAAACCAGTGGTGGTAACTTGCACAAAACATGGAAGTACTTAGTGCCACTGAACTATTCACCTAGAAATGGCTTTTAAGATGCTGCTGAGGGTGTGGGCCCAAGTAGTGGAGTATTTGCCAGGCAAACAGGAGGCCCCGGGGGTTTCCTCAATGTTCCTGAAAAAACAAAGTTAAGATAGTCAATTTCATGTTACAGATACCTATTTGTGAGTGTGCGTGTACAGTACTGAGGCTTTTACACAAGAGCCTTGAATTCTTGCTTAGCTTGTGTGTGTGTGTGTGTGTGTGTGTGTGTGTGTCCCCTAGGGCTTGAATTCAGGGCCTAGCTGCTGTCCCTGAGCTTTTCACTCAACTTGTGTACTACCAGTTGAGCCACAGCTTTACCTCCAGCTTCAGTGGTTAATTGCAGATAAGAGTCTCATGGACTTTTGTGACCTGGCTGGCTTTGAACCTCAGTCCTCAGACAGATCTCTGCCTCCTGAGTAGCTAGGATTACAGGTGTAAGCCACGGGCACCCAGTTTATAATGTGCAGTTTATCAAAATGTCTTACTATATTTAAAAAAGGGAACTTGAGCCATTTGATCCATGAATCAGGTTGTGTGAGCTTTAACTTCTCAGTGACTTTACTAAATGCATTGTTTTGTTCTCAATGCTACAGTAAGTTGTGTGTGCTGTGTGTACTCAGGACTTCCCCCTCCCTTGGCTCGGTCACTCAAGGCTGGTGTTCTACCACTTGAGCCACAGCCTTGTCTGGCTGCTTTTGCAGTTTAGACCAGTCTCACCCTTTCCTGCTCTGGCTGGCTTTGAACCTCAGTCCTCAGACCTCAGCCTCCTGACAGATAGGCTTTACTCACGTCAACCAGCAGCATCTGGCTCCTATTGTAAATTTTATTTTCAGATTTTTCATTTACCATTTTTGGCTAGTTTATAAAAATACTGGTTTTGTATTTTGCAAAGTGCCCAATGCAGAGACTAGCTGAGTCTTCTACTAGTATCAAGCATCTATTGCTGAATCATGAACTATCCAAAATTTGGCACCTTAACTGGAAGGCAAGTTATCCGGGTGAGCAGTCTGGCCTGGACGTACCAGGTGCCCTTGGCAGTGTGGGCTGGGCTCCCTCAGGTGGCCGCACTCTGCCAGCTGCTCCGCAGTCCCAGCCACGTCTGGTGTGTGGCATGCGGTCAGCAAACAGCAGGATAGCCTGGGCTCCTCCCCCGAGTACACATCTGGAGGGAACAGAAAGTGGGGGCCCGAGGCGTGGCTTTCAGAGCCAGGCACCCACTTCCACCCCATCCTACTGGCAGAAGCGCCGCCTGCCCGCCAGGCCAGCACCACAAACAGAGACCTGTGACAGGAAGGTAATGAGAAAGGTCTGGCTCCAGCTCCAGACTGAGAGGAAACAAAATGGAAGAACAGACATCTGACAAAATACAAAAGAGCAGGGGGATGGCTCAGTGGCCAGGCCTTTCCCTATATCTACGAGGCCCATAACCCCCAAATAGGCGGAAAGCAGCAGGAGTAATATTAGAAATGTGCCTTAAATCCACGAGGAAGTGGTCAGGGTGACCCTGCATCTTCACTTTCGGTGTGAAACAAGTTGCTCCTGAGGTAGCGGTCCTAAGTTGGCCGCCTACCTTACAGGCCGCCTGGGAGTGGTGACCTGTCATCCAAAGAACAAACGAATGAGATCGCATTCTTTTTGCTAATATTCATACCAATGCACTTAAAGTCTAGATTAAAAAATTGGATGACTTCCTAGAAAAATAGGAACAAGAAAGTCGTTTTTAAAACCTACACAATGTGAAGCTGGATGCTACAGGGTCTCACCTACTCATTCAGGAGGTTAAAACCCAGAGGACTGTAGACACCCTGGGCAGAAAAAGCCAGGAGATGCCTCCAAAATAACGAGTAGAGAGCAGGGCTCCAAGAGCAACTCAAGTGGTACGAGTCTAGCAAGTGCACGGCCAACACTAAATGCATGCAAGAGGGACACGAGGACACTGTGGGATTCCCTTTACGTGGAGGAAGGACGTGAGGTCACTGTGGGATTCCCTTCACATGGAGGAGGGACGCGAGGACACTATGGGATTCCCTTTACATGGAGGAAGGACGTGAGGACACTGTGGGATTCCCTTCACATGGAGGAGGGACGCGAGGACACTGTGGGATTCCCTTCACGTGGAGGAGGGACGCGGGGACACTGTGGGATTCCCTTCACGTGGAGGAGGGACGCGAGGACACTGGGATTCCCTTCACGTGGAGGAGGGACGCGAGGACACTGTGGGATTCCCTTCACGTGGAGGAGGGACGCGAGGACACTGGGATTCCCTTCACGTGGAGGAGGGACGCGAGGACACTGGGATTCCCTTCACGTGGAGGAGGGACGCGAGGACACTGTGGGATTCCCTTCACGTGGAGGAGGGACGCGGGGACACTGGGATTCCCTTCACGTGGAGGAGGGATGCGAGGACACTGTGGGATTCCCTTCACGTGGAGGAGGGACACGAGGACACTGGGATTCCCTTCACGTGGAGGAGGGACGCGGGGACACTGTGGGATTCCCTTCACGTGGAGGAGGGACACGAGGACACTGGGATTCCCTTCACGTGGAGGAGGGACGCGGGGACACTGTGGGATTCCCTTCACGTGAAGGAGGGACAAGAGGTCACTGTGGGATTCCCTTCACATGGAGGAGGGACACGAGGTCACGTGGTGGGATTCCCTTCGCGTGGAGGAGGGATGGGAGGACACTGTGGGATTCCCTTCACATGGAGGAGGGATGCGAGGACACTGGGATTCCCTTCACGTGGAGGAGGGACGCGAGGTCACTGTGGGATTCCCTTCAGGTGGAGGAGGGACACGAGGTCACTGTGGGATTCCCTTCACGTGGAGGAGGGATGTGAGGTCACGCGGTGGGATTCCTTCACGTGAAGGAGGGACGCGAGGACACTGTGGGATTCCCTTCACGTGGAGGAGGGACGCGAGGTCACTGTGGGATTCCCTTCACGTGGAGGAGGGATGCGAGGACATTGGGATTCCCTTCACGTGGAGGAGGGACGCGAGGACACTGGGATTCCCTTCACGTGGAGGAGGGACGTGAGGTCACTGTGGGATTCCCTTCAGGTGGAGGAGGGACGCGAGGTCACGCGGTAGGATTCCCTTCACGTGGAGGAGGGACGCGAGGACACTGTGGGATTCCCTTCACGTGGAGGAGGGATGTGAGGTCACGCAGTGGGATCCCATTTTCCTGTCCCCAGCTAGAATGTTTGGTGTGCACAGGCGTTGTCACTAACTGAATAAGCAGATTTGCCGTGCCATTTTCCCCCAGGATGAGTGGATCTGTCAGCCTTGGAGGGGTGGTTCCCCGGAAGGCACGGAGGATTTATGTCTGAGCTCATCGGGTGAGGGGCAAAGGCGCAGGGCTGTCGGTAGCCGCACACCACACTGGGGTGCCTGCTGGTGGTGATGGCCATGGCTCTCTCCAGGTGCCAGCACCGGTAGGAAGACATCGGGGGCAGGACACAGGCCGCGGAGCTGGCTGCAGGACACTGACAGTCTGGTCGGTGGACTGAGCAATGAGGGTCAGCACTCTGGGGGTCACAGAGGGGACCCAGCAGTGCACCCTCACCTGGAGTGGAGACCTGCTGCCCTACCCAGACTCACACCACAGAGACGGCGCATATAGGCAATCAGAGCAGTATGAAACCATTTTATTGGAAAGAGGTTAGAAAGCAAGGCACCTTCCGGCGTTGTGACTGGTGTGGTGTGGAGGAAGGCACGGGCCTGTGGCTGACTGACTGCCATGTTTCCACAAAGTGAGGATCAAATGCACCTCTACCTTCCACGCAGCAACAGAAGCGACGCACAGCATGACTTTACATGAACTACTGTGCCCATACGAAGTTCACTAAGGTCTATCTCAGTTTCTTTTATCAACAAATAGTAGAAAGTCAAAATCTGAAAATATAAAATATTCCGGAATATTTATAATACTTTAAATTGTAATCGAAAGCCCAAGAAGTCAGAAAAATAACAGATGAGAGGTTTGTGAAAAGTCTCTGGTGGAGAGGGGCGAGGCGGCATGGCAGCCGACAGCCACGTGCGTGGTGACAGGTGGCACGTGCTGGAGGCTCCGTGGCGGACGCACAGGACAACGCTGGGAGCTCACTAGCACATCCACCCGCGTGCCAGCCTCCTTCCCAAAGGCTTTAATTCAAAGCAATCTGGCGAGACTATTTTTGATTTTCTTCAGTGTCCAGTAACTTGAGGGTGTCTCTTGCTCTCTTTCCTGCCAGCAAGCATATGGTGGTTGCTGAAGTCACATCTCTTGAGCTAAAGCAGCGTGCACTGTGGAGGGCTCAAGTCCCACTGAGGCACTTCCAGAGGCCAATGTCAAGCGTGACGGAGCTGGGCAGTGTGGGGATTCTGCTCGGGCTGGACCCCACGCACCTGCCTCCAATTCACATGGCCACATGGGCTTCACCCTCCTTAGATGGACATGCCCCCCCCAGCCTCCCCCATGATGAGCCCCTCCACAGCCCGACAAGAGGAGAAACTGAGTCGGGTTCCAGGGCCCGTGGAGGACACAGGACCACCCGTCTGTGAAAGCAGCTGGACAGGAGGCAGACGGGGCGCTCCTGAGAGAGGACTTCAAACCACATTTAGAACTGGGTTTCCATGGGAAAGTGACTCATCGTCTATTAAAGATAGATATAAAAATACCACCTTGTAGGGCCTGAAATTTCACATCTAAGTTTTTTGGTGATATTTTGTTTGAGAGAATCTAAAATGCTTTTTAAGAGACTTAAGGTGATTTTGATTACCTCCAAAACTATTCAATAAAAATGGGCTAGAAAGTACTGTCAGAGATGCTTTCCTAAAGGCCACCAGAATTAGAAGAAATGGGTAGACACACACATCAGTCTTCCCCAGGATGAACAGACAGACAGGTGGCCCTCATGTGCCCCTGGGGCAGAGCAGGGCAGGCTCCTGCAGCTGGGAGCCAGGAAGGGTGTGTCCAACTTGGCTTGTACTGAGTTGCACTAAGTGGCAAACAAATACATTTCCTCCAGAGAAACCCAGTTAGTTTCACGTCTGAAGCTCTTAGCTACAGAAACAGCAGTAAGGGAAAAGGGAAGGCCACAGCGTGCAGACAGGAGCAGGATTGTCCCAGCTGGACACTGGGAGGCTCACCCACGCAGGTGTCTGCCTGCGGGCTGTGCTGAGAGGCAGTTCTCCCAGGAAGCTTTAGGACTGCCTGGCCCAAAGGTAGTACACCGTAGCTGTTTTAAAACTTCGCGTATGGGTTTTGTTCTTTAAAGAGACCTGAAAAACAAAAACGACAAATTTATACTTCCTCAAGTGGAAACAACATTCGCCAAATGTAAGATGGCTAATTTTATAGTAAGATTTACTGAGCTTGTGAGAAAAACGAGTTCTAAACAGATTTGGATATTATCTAAGCTTGACCTTTATTGAAGTCAAACACAGTTGGCTTTAAAACTGAACTCAGCCAGAAGTAGTGTTGCAGGTCTATAATCCCAACACTTGGGAGGCTGAAGCAGAAGGATCATGAGTTTAAGGCCGGCCTAGAGGAACATAGCAAGACTGTCTCAAAAGAGCAAAAGGAAAGCAAATGAAAGTCTGAAATAAAATTTCATTTCTCCAAAATGGGTTAAGAAACAAACACACAGTTGCTGATAAATAGAAATTAAAAGTTAAGCCAAGTGTTTTTTTTTCCCCCCAACAATGGCTGGCTACAAAGTACACAGCAAACTAAGCAAAACCATCCTAACTATGAACATCTTTAGATTTGCTGCTGAACTGCAGAATGAAGACTACCAAATTAACTCAAGTGTTGCCATGTGCCTGATGCAATGCCAATTTAACCCATTGGTGTGCTTACCCATGCCTCGGAGTCCTTCTTCACACTGTGGAATCAATCTCTCTCCAACCAACATCCTGCTCCCCTGCATGCACGCACACGCACGCACGCACGTGAACGCACAGCACACACACAGAGCTGACCTCATCAGTGTAATTACAGGACCGGCTTAGCCACACAGCAGGGTCAAGAGAGGCAGAAGACTTGGCTCTACGGCCCTGCCCATGCTGGAGGTCAGCACTAAACCTGAGGGACTTCCACAGGGTGCTGGGCGCTGGGTGAAGTATATCCATTCATCTTGTCAAGGATTCACATTAATGATTGTCCATGTCAAAAAGCTTCAACTTCATGGAAAGCGGGCTGCTTCCCACATAAGGCTGGGTAGGGGCTGTGCCCCCACCACAAGGCAGGGTATCAGCACTGGAAGCCAAGCATCTACACACACCCAGAACCCTGGGAACCTGGGGGAGGGGCAGGGCAGGGGCAGGGCAATGGCACGGGCAAGGCACCGGCGCTGGGGAGAAGTGGAGCTAGTGGGCCAGTCAGAAAGAAGCAGGCTCAAGTAGGACACCATGACCTTTGAGAAGCCCATCGGACCCCTGAGCAAGGCATCTAGCAGCCTTGGAGACACCAGCAGCCAAGGTCCAGCAAGGGACAGGCACTGGCTTTTAGGTACCGCGAGGGCTGGAGTCCAGCCCAGCCGGGCAGCCCAGCCTCAGTACTCAGTGTAGTATGATGTTGAGGGGCCAGACCCAATAGACCACCGGTCCACAAGGCAGAGGCCTCAACAGGTCCACCCTGTGAGCATTTTCGATCTCAGCTAGAGCCTACTAGCCCCATTTTGCTGCTGCTGCAACTCCTCACAGATGACCAAGACAATCAGAGCCACGGTTCGAAGAGCCAGTGTCCTCCCCAACTCTTGTGTGGAAGATCTGGTCCCTACTGCAATGGTCAGAGGTAGACTTTTGGTGAGTGGATCTGTCATCCGAGGATTAATCCACTACTGGCTCACATGGATGCCTGAGTGGGTGGGGTGGAAACTAGAGATGGGACCTGGCTGGAGGAAGCAGGCTGGAGGGCTTCCTGGTGGCCAGAGGCCATGGCCAGTGTGGGCCAAAAGCAACCTTTCCTCCTGTCAACAGCTTATCTGAGGTATTTTTTTCTCAGCAGGAAAACCTCACACACACAGTGACATCATAATGTCCCTGGTAAACGAGATACTGACATACACACTAAAACAGCATCTCACACAAACCTAAGTCTCAGACACGCATCTGTGGGGAGAGCTTTCAAACTTCCCTAATCATACTCCACGTCTAGAGACTAGTGTTAAGGCCAATACAGTAGCTCACAACTACAGACTGCTGCATCAGAGAAGGCAGGCGAGAGGCTAGGCAACCCCAAAGTCCACTGCAGAAAACTAGCAGGAGCAGCTGTTTAGCTTAATGTTTAGTTACTGTCATGAGCCTTAGGGGGCATCAGTCATTTTACATCTAGTTCATTTCAACAGAACAAAAGGTGTACCCATGCACATATGGTCACATTCCATTCCTTCAAGTTCACCCCCTGAAGAAATCGCTACAAACAAAACCAGACAACATGAAGTACGTAGGAGACAGAAACACATGAGGGTGAAGGGCTGCAGAGACAAGAACCTATGCAGTGTAGCCTACTTTAAGGCAAGCAGGCTGAGAGGAATGGACAGTCCTCCTAGAAATCTCCATACTTCCCCTGAGTGATCATGGACCCAGGCTCACGTCTGCTGAGACAGAGCCTTGTGAGGCTTGCTGTGGGAGCCCGAGAGTGCTGGGGACTGTCTGGCTACAGCTCTGACTGTGAGTCGAGTGTGAACACCAGGGAAAACTCTGGCTGTGTGGTTGTTTCTCCAGTGTACGTAAAGACGCAGGACTATGAGTTTTCAGTAATCCAGTCAAGAAACAGGAGAAATCTTCATAGATATTTATCTCAGTCATTCCTGGTATGTAATGTGTTACCAATGTGCTTACCTTAGTGATTCTTGAGTTCTCTTCATCTACCCCTTGGAATGTGCTCTTTTATTTTCCCATAACTCCCCTAAGAGAGCCAATCCCCTAATCTGAGCCCATAAAAGTGAAGCAGAGGAGAACTATTTGGTTTAGTCATGTCTGTGGTCACCCTATGGTCGAATTGGAATATTAATGATTTAATAACAAATGTTCTGCGGTGATGCATGGGCATACTTCACCCATTGCCCGGGAATGTGATGGTGAGAACCAGCTGCTGGCCTTGTGGGAGAGGCTCAGGGCCCTGAGTGATGCCCAGCTGCACAGTCACAGATCAAAGTCCCATGGCTGGCGCCTCCCAGCCAGTCTAAGAGAAACCACTGACTCTTACCATATTTTTTCCTGATTTCATCGTGTCTTGACTTCATCTCTGCTCTCCTAAAAAATAAAAAGCAGTATCAAGTAGCATCAAACTAGAGCATGCAAGGTCACCTCGAAGGGGTCCTTACGGTTTCTTCCTTTGGTGGCTTTTCTCCAGCTTCCCAAAATAAAGTGGGGTGTGCCTGACCATGAGATCACCACCCCAGGACCAGCAAAGTGTCAACAAAGAGAGTCTCTTGAGGCTAATTCTCTTCTTGTGTATGTGTGCACACGTATGTGTCAGTCCTGGGGCTTGAACTCAGAGTCTGGACACTGTCCCTGAGCTGCTTTTGCGCAAGGCTAGCACAGTACCACTTGAGCCATAGCTCCTTTTCCATTTTTTTTAGTAGTTTATTGGAGATAAGAGTGTCACCAACTGTACTACTGGGGATGGCCTGGAACCACAATCCTCGGATCTTAGCCTCGTGAGTAGCTAGGATTATAGGCTTGAGCCACCAGCATCTGGCTCAATAATTCTATTCTTTCCAATAAACTAGGTTCAGGCTTGATGGTACATATCTGCAACTCCGGCACTCAGGAGGCTGAAGCAGAAGGATGAGGAAACCGTGGCCAGCCTACATTACAAAAAAATGTCAAATGCCTAATATCATCTTTAAAAGTTCTTTTCACAGAAGGAAAATGCACTGAGCATCTACTTAGTAGCACCTGACTTCAGGTGCCAGCCTGCCAGGGGAGGACTCCTCCCAGGCCCAGCACTCAGGAGAGAAGTATGGTATCCTCAGAACCAGGAGCACAGCCGAACTCTGTAAAGCACCAGGGAGACGACTGAGCCCCGAGCATCCTCCCAACCTCAGTGCTCCTCGTTATCCAAGGCCTGGGCCACCCAGACAGCAGTAAGGGCAGCCCAACATAGCAAACAGACCTCTAGGCAGGCGGCACTGTCAGCTGTCATCCTCCTTTATCCAAGACAGGAAACAGACCTAGTTTGCAAAGCTCATGAGCCCAGCATCATCCCCCGTCTCTCCAGATCGGGACAGAAACCACTGAGAGCTCACCTCTCTTCCTGTCGGACTCTCCTCTCCTCTTGCTCTCTCATGGCCCGCTCGTCGCTCTTGTCTGGCTTCCTGCCCTTCTTCTTGCGGCAGCAGCAGCAGCAACAGACAACAATGCTGAGGAGGATGGAGCCTCCCAGCACCGACATGACGATAATCAGCGCCTCAAAATTCACTGAAAGCCCAGCGTGTGCAGTCAGTCCCATGTCAGAGCCCATCCACCCCCATGAGCACCATGCCAAGCTCACACCCGCCTCCAAGAGCACTACTCTCACCCCACCAACAATCGTGGATCACAGGGCCCAAGGCGGTCCCGCCTCCACCTGCTGTGGGTCTATGGTGCCCTCGGATTCCTTCAGCCACCGTTTGCCTTAAAACACTTCTAGATTATTATCAGTGAATTGAAGGGACAGGGTGACTTTTTGTGTGCCAGACCTAGGGCTTAGGCACTGGTTCTGAGCCTTTTTTTCTTTTGCTTTGTGAGCCACCAGGTGCTGGTGAGTCACACCTGTAAGCCTATTCAGGAGGCTGAGATCTGAGGATCGTGGTTCAAGGCCAGCCTGGGCAGGAAAAGTTTAAAGTGAGACTCTTATCTCAAATAAACCACCAGAAAACCAGAAGTGGCGCTGTGGCTCAAGTGGTAGAGCATTGGCCTTGAACTGAAGAGCTGAGGGACAGCGCCCAGGCCCAGAGTTCAGGCCTCATGACCGACCAAAAAAAAAGAAAGAAAAAGAAAAAGATACTTGTGAGGAAACATCTGAGGAAAGTTAACAGAAACCAAAAAGAAGAAAAAGACCAAACTGTCTACTGAGACTAAGATACTCTGCATCTGACTTTAGTAGCTCTCATTCAAATGAATCTGCATTTAGTGGCTCTCATGCAAATGGAGCTTAAGTGCGTGCCCTGGCCAGTCAACAAAATTATACCTATTGTCCAGGGAAAGAAAGTTAATTTAGACACAAAGAACATGAAGCCATACAGCCCACAAGAAAGGACCACAGAGAAGCAGGAGGCCACCCAGACCAGGAGAAAGGACCACAGAGAAGTATAGACCACTCAGACCACGAGAAAGGACCACAGAGAAGCAGGAGACCACACAGACCACGAGAAAGAACCACAGAGAAGCAGGAGACCACACAGACCACGAGAAAGAACCACAGAGAAGCAGGAGACCACACAGACCACGAGAAAGAACCACAGAGAAGCAGGAGACCACACAGACCACGAGAAAGGACCACAGAGAAGCAGGAGACCACACAGACCACGAGAAAGGACCACAGAGAAGCACGAGACCACACAGACCACGAGAAAGAACCACAGAGAAGCAGGAGACCACACAGACCACGAGAAAAGACCACAGAGAAGCAGGAGACCACAGAGACCACGAGAAAGGACCACAGAGAAGCAGGAGATCACACAGACCACGAGAAAAGACCACAGAGAAGCAGGAGACCACACAGACCACGAGAAAGGACCACAGAGAAGCAGAAGGCCACACAGACCACGAGAAAGAACCACAGAGAAGCAGGAGACCACACAGACCACGAGAAAGGACCACAGAGAAGCAGGAGATCACACAGACCACGAGAAAGGACCACAGAGAAGCAGGAGACCACACAGACCACGAGAAAGGACCACAGAGAAGCAGAAGGCCACCCAGACCACGAGAAAGAACCACAGAGAAGCAGATCACACAGACCACGAGAAAGAACCACAGAGAAGCAGGAGATCACACAGACCACGAGAAAGGACCACAGAGAAGCAGGAGACCACACAGACCACGAGAAAGGACCACAGAGAAGCACAAGGCCACACAGACCACGAGAAAGAACCACAGAGAAGCAGGAGATCACACAGACCATGAGAAAGGACCACAGAGAAGCACGAGGCCACACAGACCACGAGAAAAGACCACAGAGAAGCAGGAGACCACACAGACCACGAGAAAGGACCACAGAGAAGCAGAAGGCCACCCAGACCACGAGAAAGAACCACAGAGAAGCAGGAGATCACACAGACCACGAGAAAGGACCACAGAGAAGCAGGAGATCACACAGACCATGAGAAAGGACCACAGAGAAGCACGAGGCCACACAGACCACGAGAAAAGACCACAGAGAAGCAGGAGACCACACAGACCACGAGAAAGGACCACAGAGAAGCACGAGGCCACGCAGACCACGAGAAAGGACCACAGAGAAGCAGGAGGCCACACAGACCACGAGAAAGAACCACAGAGAAGCACGAGGCCACACAGACCACGAGAAAAGACCAGAGAAGCAGGAGACCACACAGACCACGAGAAAGGACCACAGAGAAGCAGGAGACCACATGGACCACGAGAAAGGACCACAGAGAAGCAGGAGACCACACAGACCACGAGAAAGAACCACAGAGAAGCACAAGATCACACAGACCACGAGAAAGGACCACAGAGAAGCACGAGGCCACACAGACCATGAGAAAGGACCACAGAGAAGCAGGAGACCACACAGATCACGAGAAAGGACCACAGAGAAGCAGGAGACCACACAGATCACGAGAAAGGACCACAGAGAAGCAGGAGATCACCAGACCACGAGAAAAGACCACAGAGAAGCAGGAGACCACACAGACCACGAGAAAGGACCACAGAGAAGCACGAGACCACACAGACCACGAGAAAGGACCACAGAGAAGCAGGAGACCACACAGACTATGAGAAAGGACCATAAAGAAGCAGCCACTTTTGTATCTCAGAGTTATGGATACTCTGGGCCTGAAAATGGCCACCAGTTAGTGCTACTCGGTGGTACGATTTCCTGGAAGAGCCACGCTACACAGACAGACTCAAACTATAATGAGTTTGATGGTTCTTTTTACTTTTTCTAAAGCCCTTTATGTTACACCAGCTAGTTCAAACCAGAGCTAAGGAACTCCCTATACTAATTTTGCATGTGTTCCCATTATCTAGTTAAAACTGAATTTATTCAAGAACCAATGCCACACAACTGGAATTCTTCTTTTTTTGGAGGGAGGAGGCAATATTAGGGCTTATACTCAGCTTTTTCAGTACTAGGGCTTGAACTTTGCTTTTTCTTGCTCAAGGCTAGAGCTCTACCATTGAGCCACAGCTCCACTTCTAGTTCTGGCTGGTCAACAGAATATAAGAGTTTTATGGCTGGGGCTGGGAAGGTGGCTCAGTGGTAGAGCACTTGCCTTGCACGCCTGAGGCCCTGGGTTCAATTCCTCAGCACCACGTAAGCAAAAAGAAAAAAGCCGGAAGTGGCATTGTGGCTCAAGTGGTAGAGCGCTAGCCTTGAGCTGAAGAGCTGAGGGACAGTGCCCAGCCCAGAGTTCAGGCCCCACAACCAGACCCCCCCCCCCCCCCAAAAAAAAAAAAAAGAGTTTTATGGCTGGCTTTGAACCACAATCTGGAGATCTTAGCCTCTTGAGTAGCTAAGACTACAGGTCTGAGCCAGACGACGGGGAGGCCTGTCCCCACCCTGGTAGACTCTGACATACTCTTCTTGTGAGCTACTCATTTAGCAGTTTTTGGTGGTGTTGTTTTAATAGTATTGGGGTTTGAACTCAGGACTATGTATGCTTGCTAGGCCAGTGCTCTAATACCTGAACCATGTCTCCAGCCCTACTTTTTGCTAGCTACTTTGGAGATGGAGTCTAGTGACATTTCTAGTCTAGGCTGGCTTTGAACTACTATCCTCTAGATCACAGCTTCCTGAGTAGCTAGTATTATGGGTATGAGCTGTAAGGTCTACACAGGGACACCTCTCTACCTCTTGGCTAAGTTTCTGCCCAGTATCTGTTACCTAGCTAACTGGCAGACCTGGAAGCAGTCACCTTCCCCTCCTGCTAGGTCACAAGCATCCCACCTGACCGTAGGAGGGTCCCAGACCCTGAGGTCATGTCCGGACCCAGTGTGGCCACACCTTTCCCCACCTGGCCACACCTCTTCCTGTCCCTGGCCTAGATAAGTCCTGGCCAAGGGGTGGGTCTCCCCTTCTTTTTCAGCCATGCCTCTCCACCATGCACAGCGGGGGCAGCAGTCCAGTAAATAAACTTCTTCTCCTGCCTGAACAGCACATGGTATTCTCTTCAGTGGCAACCTAATGAAACCTACCTATTTAATATACCTTACATGAGCTACTGGCATTGACTAGTGGACTTCTTTTTAGCTCATCAAACATTTTTTTTTTTTTTGGGTCCGGTCGTGGGGCCTGAACTCTGGGCCTGGGCGCTGTCCCTCAGCTCTTCAGCTCAAGGCGAGCGCTCTACCACTTGAGCCACAGCGCCACTTCCAGTTTTTTCTGCTTATGTGGTGCTGAGGAATCGAACCCGGGGCCTCAGGCATGCAAGGCAAGCGCTCTGCCACTGAGCCACCTTCCCAGCCCCCAACATTTTAAAATCAGAAGGTGTTACATCTGCTCAGATGCCTTTAAGATTTTAATCATATGTTCTGTCTTCCTATGACTTAGGCTAAAAAGTATAAAATTGCAAAATCAAAAGCAGTCAGTGCTTCACGGCCAGTTTCCCGGCCCCAGAGCCATCTTTGCACATGAGGAAGGAAAGGCTCTGGAGAGCAGATAGTGAAGATGGAGGCCACAGGCTTTCATGTGTGAAGACACACATGATAGGCAGAACCAGGCATGTACACATGCCCCCACAATCACCACCCCACACTTCTGGCCTTCAGCAGGGATCCTTTCAGAGAGAAGCTTACTGGGCTTTTGAGATAGAAATGACTAGAAAGGAAATAGCTAGGAAAGGAAGGAGTAAGCCACAGAGGGGTCTGCAGAAGAGTGAGCTCCAGGGAGCAAGACACACTCCAACTAATTTAAAAGGCAAGGTAGGGACTATGTGTTAGTTTCCTCATGAGGCGGTGTCTGTGAGAGCAACTGCAGCCATGAAAGCAGTGTGCACACCAAAGGGGCCCTTGGCGGGTGGCAGGAATCCACATGTGGGCTTCCAGGGCGGCCTTGAAGGGAGATAGTCAAAAGCTTCCAGCATGTCCTTTCTCCAGCCCCTCTCAGGATGATCCTGGGGAGCCTGGATACTTGCCTGGGCTCTAGCCTGCCACCACTTTCCGACCTCTTGCTTAATATCAGGGATTATACCATGTTAGGCTAACTAGTCACCATCCAACCACAACTTTCAAAAAAGCACTCACTCTGCAACACCTAAATGAAAACAACTTACCCCAGCAAACGCCCCATCGTGCGGAACTCAGCTCACAAAGGGAACTAGGCGGCAGGATTTTCCTCGCAGGGTACTCCACACAGGCCTTGTTAGTATTGCACCACAGACACTGAAAGAACGACCAAGCAGATGACGTGAGGCCCTCTGCACCTCCAAAGGAGGAGAGACCCTGGCCACCAAACGGTTTGTCTCGGCCTCGCTGCCCTTCAGGAATGCCCAATGCCATGCTCAGTGACCCTGCATGGAGAAAAACTCAAACCTAGTAGCCAAGTCTTTCCAGTGGACCAGATGGCTGCCTCTCACCAGAGCCCTGTTCTCCTACTGCTGTGTGAGGAGCTGAGAAATGGCTCCTGACAGCTCTGAAAAAGCACAGGTACCATAGCACAACCATGGCCAGGGCGCCGGCCCCACAGCACTGCACTGCAGAGACGGGCAGGTCCTCTGAGTGCCATCACATATTAGACCTTCTGCCACATGGTGTCATAGCCCAACAGACCTCTCAAGTTTACACAGAAAGCCTGGTCATAGGCAAGTGGCGGTGTACCAACTGCAGTCTAGGCCTCATCTACTAATACCAGCATACCATATGTTTCTCAGCTAGCTCCAGGGAGGGTCCCGCCTGAAGTAGGAGTGAAGGCAGGGTCAGTGACCACGGTCAGGGGCAGCCTGTTTCCAAAGGCTGGAGTCATCTTTAGCAACTGTCGAGCCTCCCAGAGCTGAGGAAACAGGTCTGCCTCGGGCCTGCTCCCCACCACACCACTCACCGAGACATTCTTCAGGCATTCTTCACAAGATCTGTTTGTATTCTGAGAACAACCTGTGGGGGAAACGAGAGCGTCACCAAGGGCACTAGATCAAAGAGGTGCCAGACCCAGCACAAGCACAGAATGCCAATGCTGTGACCCTCTGACTTAAGTCACCAACTTTCCTGGAGCCAGCCTGCTTCAGTGTCCAGTCAAGTGACTGCTGCCCACAGGCCTTTGGGAAGAGCCAGAATGTGGCTCTCCTCCAGAAAGGAAGATTCCAGATGTAACAGCTCTCCCTGAAAACAGGTGTGCCAGGTGACTTCCCCATCATTAGCCCAAACAGCACACTCTCCTGGGAGACAAGATCACAGCAATATTGTGATAATGGCCAGAAGCACAGTATGCACATTGACTTCGCTCTAATCCTCCTGGGTCCTGGACAGGGGAACACTCCCCAAGCACAAGGGAAGTGCTGTGGCAGCCAAGAGGAGCCCGGGGCAGACTCACCTCCTCTGCACAGCTCAGTGCTACAGGAAAGGGCACACCGCGCTCAACAGCCACAGAACAGAGCCCATCAGGAGAAAAGAAACAGTGAGGGAAGCCTTCCCCACATGCACTCAAACAGCACCTAGCAGCATCCCCCCACCCGAACACACACACACACACACACTTTGAGAAAAGGCCTCACCCTCCCTCTCTAAAAAGTTACAACATACGTCCTATCTAGCTGTCTATGTACTACTGGTTGCTGAAGTAAGGCGAATTAAAACTGCAGTGAGACACAGAACGCCTATAACTGAAGGGACGGACAGGCTCAGGTGGGGCTGGCAGGGATTTTAGCTCAAACCTTTCCCCAAATGGCTGCAGCTGCTGACAAAACAACAGGTGCCCTTTCGGTAATTCCATAATTCCACCCTGGGTATTTTATCCAAGTTAGAATACACATGCAGCTACACCTGGGCAGGTGTGTGCACACCAACTATATTTTTACAGCTGCACATTGCAGATGTCCACATGTCTAACTCCAGGAGGTGAACAGCCAAACAAGACCCAACACTATTTAACTGTGGAGACAAGAGCAAAACGGATGGTCTTTTAAGGCCCGGAGCAGAAAGAACCCTTGCACACACTGTGCACTAAGGGAACCTATCCACCCAGCATGCAGACAGGTGGGCTGGGGGGGGGGGGGGGGCGCATTCTGCATCTGGACAGGTGCCTGGGCCACACAGGACTAACTCATCCAAAGGCACACCTAAGTTTTCTGTGTTTCATTGTTAGAACAAAAACGCTGGGCGCTGGTTACTAGCAGGGATGGTGTAGAACGAGAGTGGCTCTGTCTCCTGAGTTGCACACCTATGGAGGACTGTGGAGGTGAAAAGCTCAAGGTGGCTCCCTGACTTTCCCACCCCTGGCATATGGATTGTGGTGCTCTCAGAAGCTGCCACAAACTCAGAACGACAATACCAAATTGAGATCCTCAAAAGACAACAGACAAAGGAGCTGGTTCCAGGCACTGGAGGTTGGAGACAACAACTCAGGTACCTTGTGGTCCTGGATGTCAGGGGTTTGGTAGCTGGCTGAGGTCTGCGTATGGTCTGTATGCTAAACCAAGCATTCAAGGACCTCATCTATCTTCAATGTGCAGATTTTGGTAATTATGTTCCACTTGTGCAGAAGGAAGCCCTCCACCTTGGAGAAATGACTTTTGAAGAATTTGGAGTACAAGGCCTCCTCAACAACTTGCTCGTAAGTTTGGCTAAAATAACAAGCAATTATAGTTTGTCAATTAAAAAAATGAAGACACCAGCTATTTTACCGAACTAGTAGATGGAAGGCGTGGTACAAACATCCAGGCAACAAAAGGCCACTGGGACTCGGGCACGCTCCTCCAGTGCCCAGGCTGAGATCCCGCTCTTCCCCTTGGGAGGGAGACACATGGTATGCTTAACACATCCACTCTCAGCCTTTGGACACACATTCTCTACTAAAAGAAAGGAGACTCCTCCTTCTGGTTAGTGCTCGGTGAGGAAGAGGCACAGGATCTTTGTTTTCATAACACTGTGTGAACTGAAAGAAATAAACCTGGAGAGACACACCCTCAATTCTGTCTACCCTTGGGCCTCTTGATTACTGGCCAGTATGAGTCAACAAGAGGCCAGGACAAAGAAGCAGGCTGGCTGCCCAGCCTGCTCCTCCTCCTCTTCTACAGGCCAAGAACAAGGCCTGTCTTCAGTATCAGGAAACACAAGCGTTGGGACAGTCAGCTTTAAAAGAATTCCAGGCTTGGGAAGGTTTGTTTGGCTCCCTGTGCGGAAAGCTCCGACCTGTGCAGCAAGAAGGGAATGCACTGGCCTATGGCCCCTGCTCTCCAGAAAACTAGTGTGCGTTTCTCAGAGCCACACTGGATCTCTGACCTCATCATAAGATGGAGAAAATCATGTGCTGTGGGATATAAAAGAAAGCATTTATATTTCTTAAGTGTGGAACTGAATGTAAATGCCTGACTTTAGAGGTCTTACGATTTTGAGGTTTCAGCTTAGATTGCTTTGTTTTTTGGTGGTACTGAGGCTTGAATTCAGGGCCTTAGAACTTGCTTGTCTGGCCTGCTACTACTTGAATCACACTTTCAGCCCTGCTTTTTGCTGGTTGTTTTTTCATTGGTCCCTAGTCTCTCACCCTGGGTGCTGTCCTTGAGCTTCTTTTGCTCAAGGCTAGTACTCTACCACCTGAGCCACAGTGCCACTTCCAGCTTTTTCTGGGTAGTTTATTGGTGATAAAAGTCTCACAGACTCTCCTGCCCCAGGCAGGCTTTGAATCAAGAGCCTTAGATCTCAGCCTCCTGAACAGCTAGAATTACATTGGCACCCAGCTTTGGTGGTTATTTTAGAAATGAAGTCTAGCAAGCTTTTCTGCCCAGAGTGGTCTCTATATCTTAGCCACTTACACTGCTAGGACTACAGGCATGAGCCACCTATTTATTGATTTTTAAAAACTTCCAGACTCGTTCCCTTTAGAAATTGGATGAACAAGAAGACAAAAGTTCCCCTGTTAGGATACCATAAACCATGACTCACTTGAGTGCTTTCCAAGTTTCAGTACAGTCAATATTGATTAAATAAAAAAAAGGACGCACTGCCATAGGCAAAGAAGTGTAAATGTCACTGGGGTTTCTGTCCCAAGGTTGTGAGTACTCTACAAGGGAGTACTCAGCACAGGCGTCTGGAGAGCAGTTATGCTGTCCACTTCAGGTGAGGGCAGAGGCACAAGAAGCAAGAAGAGGCAAGGCCCCTACATCACAAGTGTGCAGAGCAGTTTCTTGGGGAGGGGGCGGGAGAAGTACAGATCCGGCTCTAAACCACACTTCCCGGTGAGGAAGCTCCTGTGGGGGCTTGCCTTTCCCCAGATGAAGCTTACCGACAAGGTTGAGTCCAAATTTCATATGGTTCATGGGTTCACAATGTCTACCTCCAACAACGCACACAAAGCAATATTCAAAGGGTGTGTTTTGGATTAGTATGGTTTGTGCAGTCTTTCTTGTAAAGACTAAAATTACTCATCAGTACTTAGAACTCCAACTGTGTGTGGAGAACAGCAGTGCTCTAAACAGTGCCCATCTGGGTGCCTGGGCAGAAAGCAGCCGCACGGGAGTGACCCTAATGCCCGCTCCCCAGGCGTCCCCAACGAGTGTAGTTGCCACCCAGAGAGGACACAAAGAAGGAATGCGTCTGGAGGACATCCAGCTGCCCTTCAGAAGCCAGAACAGAAACCAGGAACAGCTGCCACCCAGGCCTTGGCGTGCACTCCAGCAGTGTAAGCAAACACACCCTCCAGCCACTGATAATCTGTGGGATGAAAAGCACTCAGCTGCACTTGTGCCCAGAACCCAGCTTGTGCCCCGGACCCCTGCGCAGTACCAGTCAGCCCCTCCTCACACAGCCTAAGACAGCAGGAATTGGCAACCTCCACACTGATCACAGACGGGCCAGGCCAGCTCAAGGTGGAGGGAAGCTGAGGGTGGAGGAAGATGCCCGGCTCCTGAGCTAGGCCCGATCCCGCCTTAACTGGAGGTTGTGAAGCAAGTCATGGAGTGTCTGCGGCTCTACGAACCACGGGAGTGACATACACACATGCACACACGCACACGCACGGGGACGCGGGCCCAGCTGGTCCCACGCAGAGCCCAGCTCGGAGCCGCGGAGGGGGCCGGGGACCCGGGGTCCAGGGCCGGGCGTCACCCTCCGGAGCCCCGCCGGCTTGGCGCGGGCCGGGCCTCCCCGGACCCCTCGTCCGGAGCCCTCGTCCAGAGGCCAGGGTCAGGGTCGGTGTCCCAGGGAAGCTGTGGGTGTCCGCGGGGCCCACCCCGGGGAAGGCGAGGAAACCGACTCGGGTGGCTCCACGTCCCTGCGTCCCGAAGGGGGGACGGCGCCCGGGACACCGCCCAAACCCCCCCCCCCCCGGCCTCCCCGACCCCCCCGGGCCGAGCTCCCCTCCCCCGGCCTCCCCGGCCGAGCCCCCCCCCCCCCCCCGGCCTCCCGGGCCTCCCCGACCACCGGGCTTCCCCTGCCTCCCGGGCCGAGCCCCCCCCCGCCCCGGGCCCCCCCTCCCGCCCCGCCGCCCCGGCCTCCCCCGCCCCGCCGCCCCAGCCTCCCCGAGCCCCCCCCCCCCGCCCCGGGCCCCCCCGCCCCGCCGCCCCGGCCTCCCCCGCCCCGCCGCCCCGGCCTCCCCCGCCCCGCCGCCCCGGCCTCCCCCGCCCCGCCGCCCCGCCGCCCCGGCCTCCCCCGCCCCGGCCTCCCCGGGCCCCCCGCCCCGCTGCCCCGGCCTCCCCCGCCCCGCCGCCCCGGCCTCCCCCGCCCCGGCCTCCCCGGGCCCCCCGCCCCCCCGCCCCCCCCCTCCCCGGGACCCCGCCCCGGCCTCCCCCGCCCCGCCGCCCCAGCCTCCCCGGGCCCCCCCGCCCCGGCCTCCCCGGGCCTCCCCGGGCCCCCCCGCCCCGGCCTCCCCGGGCCTCCCCGGGCCCCCCCGCCCCGGCCTCCCCGGGCCCCCCGCCCCGGCCTCCCCCGCCCTGGCCTCCCCGGGCCCCCCGCCCCGCCTCCCCGGGCCCCCCGCCCCGGCCTCCCCGGGCCCCCCCGCCCCGCCTCCCCGGGCCCCCCGCCCCGGCCTCCCCGGGCCCCCCCGCCCCGCCTCCCCGGGCCCCCCGCCCCGGCCTCCCCGGGCCCCCCGCCCCGGCCTCCCCGGGCCCCCCGCCCCGGCCTCCCCGGGCCCCCCGCCCCGCCGCCCCGGGCCCCCCGCCCCGGCCTCCCCGGGCCCCCCGCCCCCCCGCCCCGCCGCCCCGGGCCCCCCGCCCCGGCCGCGCCCGCCTCACCCGCTCCCGGCGCGTCCTGCGCGGCGGCCTCCAGGAGCAGCAGCAGGAAGAGCGCGGCGCCGCCCAGGCGCAGCCCCCAGCGCGGCGTCCGGCCGCGGGTCCCGCCGGGCGCCATGGCCGGCCCCGTCAGCGGCCGAGACGAGAACCGAGCCCGCCGCCCGCCGCCAACGTCGCTCGCGCCGTCCGCGCCCTGAGGAGCCGCGGCGCCGGAGGCGCGCGGGGGCGGGGCCGGGCGACGGCGCAGGCGCGAGCCCGGCGAGCCCCGCCCCTCGGCCGCCGCCGCGTCTGGGCGTGGCTGCTGCCCAGTGCGCATGCGCGGCGGAGGACCGGGCCGGGACCCCTCCCCCCCACCTCGCCCCGGCGGGCTTCGAACCGCGGTCCTCGGCTCTCAGCCCTCGAGAGCCGGGATGACAGGCGTGAGCCCGCCCGGTCACTGGCGGTGGGTGGGGTCACGGGCGGGACGGGGTCACGGGTGGGGGGGTCACTGGCAGGGGGTGGGGATCACCGGGTGGGGCCACTGGCTGTGGGTGGAGGTCACTGGCAGGAGCGGGGTCACGGGCGGGGGGTGGGGACATAGGCGGGTGGGGTCACGGGTGGGGCGGGGTCAGTGGAGGGGCGGGGTTACTGGCGGGGGTGGGGTCACGGGCCGGGTCACTGGGGGACCCCCCTCCAGGGGCCTGTCCGCCCCGAGGGGCTGGTGCGGGAAGTTCCCGGGCTCCACGCTCCGCCCTGGGAGCCTCACCCTCCCTGGGCCAGAGGAAGATCCGCCGACCCTTCCAGGCGCGGGCTGCCCCGCAGGCAGGCTCCGCCCCAGCCCTCCTACGCCCGAGGCCTCCCCGTGACCACGGGGCCCAGTTGTAACAGCACTAACCATCAGAGCAGGCGCCATGAGGACCCCGAGCGTCAGAGCCACGGTGGCAGGAGGGGCCACGCTGGAGAAGGGAGAACGAAATAGCTGGGTAACAAAGAAGAAGAAATTATATATCTACACCTGTGACAGGTTTAGAATTTGGGGGTAGAAGCATCCTAGAACCAGGTTATTTGATAAACTGTCTCCTGAAAAGGGTTACAGCCTGAGAAAGAGTGGTTCTCCACAAGTCTGGCCTGTTGGTGAAGATAAAGCTTAAGAGTACTTGGGGAGAAAAATTCTTAAAAAACAAGAAAAAAGCTGGATGCTGGTGGCTCACGCCTGTCGTCCTAGCTACTCAGGAGGCTGAAATCTGAGGATCACAGTTCAAAGCCAGCCTGCGCAGGGAAGTCCACGAGACTCTTCAATAAACTGGAAGTGGGCTAGGGCTCAGGTGGTAGAGCACTAGCCTTGAGCTGAAGAGCTGAGGGACAGCGCTCAGGCTTGAAGCCCATGACCAACAACAACAAGAAATAATAAAAGCTAGAAAAGACTGACGGCACACACAATGCTTCTCTTCTGAATAGAGTTCTTCACAATCATCTTTGGTTGTCCATGGCCCTCTTCCCAGGCTGCAGGTGCTGGTGGTGAAGGTGCAGCACTGGCAGGCAGAGTCTGCCGCTGAGCTGGAACACTCCACAGGTTTTGCCCACTCCAGAGTTGCAACCCTAGCAGCCTGTGCTGGCTGCAGAGCAGGTCGGCGTGGGCTCTGCCATCAAGAGCAGCAGCAGCACAACCTTCTACATGGTAAGGAAGGATGTGTGCACGCCCTTCTCCTGGCTCAGGATCAGACGGGCAGGGAAGCCTTCCCACAACCTGGCAGCCACTGTGCAGTTGACACACATTTGGGGAGGGAGCATCTCAGTTTCCTGCCACCCAATAACCTACTCCTCCTGGTCCTGGCAGGCACCACTCAGGCCTTGCGGGCCTACCTGCCCACCTCAACCCTCCACAAATCACTCTTATCTTCCTGCTCTTCTGGGGTGGAGTCTCGCACATAGGACATAGTACCGAGAACTGGAGAACAGCTAGATACCCCACCCACGGACAACGGTCTTTGCCATCTTTGTCCTTCTGGTCTTCTGGATCCTGAGGTTCTCAGTCATATTCTGTACCTGCTCTGTGCCCACCCAGGGCGCAGGGGCAGGATGGGGGGAGAGCGGGACTGTGGGGCGGATGTGGCGAGACCCAGCTGTGTGGAGTGGGAGGTGTCCAGAGGGCACCACACGCTCCGCTGACGCTGCCCTCCACCCTGACAGAGGAAAGCTGGACTTCGGTCAGGAGGGCACTGTGGCCTTGGTGTGCTCCTGCATCAAAGCAAACAGAAATAGCCCAGTCTCCTGTGACGGAGCTCGTTTGAGAATGCAAGGACTAGGACTGCATCGGCCACAGTGCCTGGACAGGGTGCTGGAGGCAGCGGTCACCACCCAGAGCCGTCCCGTGGGTGTCCCGTGTGCGTGTGTGTGTGTGTGTGTGTGTGTGTGCTGGAGCAGTCACCACACAGAGCTGCCCAGTGGGTGTTTTGTGTGTGTGTGTGTGTGTGTGTGTGTGCTGGAGCGGTCACCACCCGGAGCCGTCCAGTGGGTGTTGTGTGTGTGTGTGTGTGTGTGTGCTGGAGTGGTCACCACACGGAGCCGTCCAGTGGGTGTTGTGTGTGTGTGTGTGTGTGTGCTGGAGTGGTCACCACACGGAGCCGTCTCATGGGTGTCCCGTGTGCGTGTGTGTGTGTGTGTGTGTGTGTGTGCTGGAGCGGTCACCACACAGAGCTGCCCAGTGGGTGTTGTGTGTGTGTGTGTGTGTGTGTGTGTGTGTGTGCTGGAGCGGTCACCACACGGAGCCGTCCAGTGGGTGTCCCGTGTGCGTGTGTGTGTGTGTGTGCGTGTGTGTGTGTGTGTGTGTGCTGGAGCGGTCACCACCCGGAGCCGTCCCGTGGGTGTCCCGTGTGTGTGTGTGTGTGTGTGCGCATGTGTGCTGGAGCGGTCACCACACAGAGCTGCCCAGTGGGTGTGTGCGTGTGTGTGTGTGTGTGTGTGTGCTGGAGGTGGCGGTCACCACACAGAGCCGTCCCGTGGGTGTCCCGTGTGCGTGTGTGTGTGTGTGTGTGTGTGTGTGTATGTGTGTGTGTGTGCTGGAGCGGTCACCACACAGAGCTGCCCAGTGGGTGTTGTGTGTGTGTGCTGGAGCGGTCACCAGACTGTCCAGTGGGTGCTGTGTGTGTGTGCGTGTGTGCCCGCGCACTTGTGCGCATATGAGGGAGACGGCCTTCTTCCAGCAGGTCGCTCAGGGAGCCACTCCAGACCAGCCAGCCTCCCAGCTGCATTTCCCGCTGAATGACAGGAGTGCTTTGCTCAGTTCCTGGGGCAGCATCCTCTCCCCAGCACAGCCACCTCAGTGACCTTGGTCTCGAGCCCATGGAGAGGGTGGAGAGGGCAGGGGACGGGCTTGGGCCCACCTCCACCTCCACCCCCTGCACGCCCTCTGCACCCCAACCCCGTCCTGCATTGCACAGCCAGTGCACAGCCAGCTGCACTGCTTGTGTGTCTGTTTTTTTTTTTTTTTGTCGGTCGTGGGGCTTGAACTCTGGGCCTGGGCGCTGTCCCTCAGCTCTTCAGCTCAAGGTGAGCGCTCTACCACTTGAGCCACAGTGCCACTTCCTTTTTTTTTTTTCTGGTGGTTAATTGGAGATAAGAGTTTCATGGTCTTTCCTGCCCGGGCTGGCTTTGAACCGCGATCCTCAGATCTCAGCCTCCTGAGTAGCTAGGATTACAGGCGTGAGCCACCAGCGCTCGGCTTGCTTGTGTGTCTGTTGAAGCAAACAAGTGCCAGGCTTGGGCAGTCAGGTGCCCGGGTGGGAGGGGTGTCTCCTGCCCTGTCCTCAGATGCCCATGGTCCCGTGCAGTCTCCTTCCTGCCCCTGACACAGGGCTCGGGGAAGTCTGCTCTCCACGCCCTGTGTAAGGACCACACATGGTTAGCGTGTTTGAACAAGCAGCCTTCCCCTTCCCTCTGAGCCCAGTGAGCTCCCTCCCATGCAGGAGGCTGGGATCTGAGGATGGAGGTACAAAACCAGCCTGAGTAGGCAAATCTGAGATATTCTTTTTTTATCTTTTTTTGGTTGTTGTTGGTGATGGTCATGGGGCTCAAACTCAGGGCCTAGGTGCTGTCCCTGAGTTTTTTTCACTCAAGGCTAACACTCTACCATGTTGAGCCACAGTGCCACATCTGGTTTTCTGGTACAGTGTCTCATGGATTTTCCTGCCTGGGCTGGGCTTGAACCGTGATTCTCAGATTTTAGCCTCATGAATAGTTAGGATTCCAGGCATGAGTCACTGGCACCCGGCTGAGATATTCTTATCTTCAGTTAACTAGCAAAAAGCCCAAAGCTCAAATGGTAAAACACCAGCTTCAAGCAGAAAAGCCATGGGAGAGTGCAAGGCTCTGAGTTCAAGCCTCGATACCAGCAAATCAAAGGCTAAAACACAAAATCCACATAGCTGCTAGCATAACTCAGTGATGTTTAAAAGACAACAACAAAAATGAGACAGCCTGAGTTCCTGTTTATACCTCCACAGAGCTATAAAGAGGGAGAGGCGCATGATGCAACCTAACTCTATCCAAAGTTCACAGATACGTTCTCAGTCGTTAAGAGCTCCAGGCTCCTCAGAATGACCGTGTGGCATATGATACAGAGTGCACAAGCTGTACAGACATTTGGAGAAATGTCCACGACCCAAAGCCTGTTTTTCCAAAAAGAATGACAGTTGGCTGGCTGGCCGCCAGGGCCTCAGCTCTGAGGAGCGGCCGCCTCACCACAGGGCCACAGAGCGGCCAGGCACACTGCTCAGGTCACACTCAGGCTTCTGGGATCCCAGGGCTCCCCAGTGCATCTCAGAGCCACCTGCAGGGCGTTGGCACCCAGCTTGATTTGGTAGTTAAGTATCTACGCACCTGAGTCTTTCATTATCATGCATGCATTCCTCCACGGGTTAAAGAATTACTTCTAGGCAGCTTCTGCTTGGACCATGGCACATGAAACTGCCAGTCCTCAACCCTGGCAGGACAGAGGGCACTCACTGGGGCAAAACGGAGGCCCAGGGCTTTGGACTCCTGGAGGATATCTGGCAAGAAGTGGAGTGTGTGGGAGTCCTTGGTCAGGCAGGGGTCAGCGGGGACGGGGTGGGAGGGGCAATGGTTGAGACGAGAGCCGGAGCTCTGGGCCAGGAGAAGTTTCCATGGTTGCATTAAGCAAGGATTTGGACTGTGCATCCCCGGAATGAGGGATGGCCCAGGGAAGCCCGCAGCCCGCCTGGTCTGTTGCTTACTACAAGGGTTTGGGAGCAGGATGGTGCTCTCAGGCTCGGGTGTCAGCAGCGTCTAGCTAGCCACCAGCCGCTCAGGGGCTTCTCGGAGACGAGGCCTTCTGTGAACCCTGCAGTTTGAAAAGCATTGCTAGTTCAAGGCCGCGCAGCTGCTGGGAGAAATAGAGCTGGCGATGAACCCAGGGGTCACCTGTGGGTCCAGCCTTCCTCCCCGTGTCTCAGTCCTGCTGACAGGACTGGGCGTGATGCTTGAGATAACTTCTGACATCAGGCCTTGGTCACAGAATGTCACAGTGAGAATTCAGGTTCCACATTGGCTTGGAAGGGACATTAGGGCTAGGGTAATGTCTGGTTCTGGCCATCTCTGAGGACTGAGATTGGTCACACAGATGCTGACCGGGCTCAGGGGAAGCAGGAGTATCCAGCGAGGCTTGCTCGCAGATGGGCAAAATAAGGGCTAGGGGTATGGCATAGAGGGACAGTGCTTACAAGGCATGCAGGAGGCCCTGGGTTCAACCAGCAGCACCAAAGGATAATGGCAATGCAGTACAAGATCGACACAAGTTAGTTCACATTGAGCACAATAACTACATTGCCTTAGGTCCTTGATGCAAAACTTTGACCTTAGGAATGAAAGGCCGACTTTAAAATGAAAGGCAAATGAGAACACTGTTTTCCCTGGTGTCTGGAGGAGGCATCTGACGGGCCCGTGTGGGTCAGCTGAACCTAAGTGTTGAGTTGGAACTGTGGGGGTCAAGGCCAGAAGGCATGGTGAGAATCTCTGCAGTGTCTGTACACAGTCTCGGTGTGAGGGCACTCACCAGTCCTGTGTGCTATGGGTAAAAGTTGGTCTTTGATGGTTGTACGCCAAATGTGCTTCTAACGCCACTTGGCTCAGGGGTGCTGCATGGTGGGACCCCAGCATGAGGCCTCACTCACAGGGAGGGGCCTGGGAAAGCGGGTAGGTAGAAGCCTGTGGATAGGAGGATGCTGGCAGGAAGGGCACTGGGGCGGGGCGGGACAGGCTGCAGCCAGAGCAGATCGGAGTAGGGTCTGACAGAGTCCTGGGCTGCCCAACCACTGCAGAGAAGACCACCTCCCTCTGGACGAATGAGGAGGGTGTCAGCAACCCGCAGTGGTGAGCAAAGCCAGCAGGCGGACTAGTGGCAGGGCTCCACTGGGCCCTGGGAGGAGTCAAGTGTGGTTAGAGCGATGTTGTTAAACCCCCTCAGATGAGGCTTTGCTGTAAGCACCTGTCTGAAAGTTTGCTTTTCTCTTAAATGTGTTTGAAACGTGGGGGGCTGGGGTGATTTAGCTCCCTAATTGGCCCTTCCCTGGCCCAGGATGCTTTATGCATGAAGGACTTAGAGTGGGCACCAGCCTGCCAGTCCGCATGCTGCGCTGGCTGTCTTGAATTCCCCCCGACACACCCGGGAGCTCCACATGGAAGGCGCTGTGCCGTCAAAGGCCTTTGCCTGGACTGGACGGGACTTTTTGGCATTTCAAGTCTCAGCAAACTCTCCATGATCCCAAGTTTATTCCCACGCAGGCCACTCAGGGAACTCATCCCCTTGTGGCCCAGCAGAAGACTCATGATTGGTGTAAAGACAGTCCATTTGCATAAGGGCTCGCCATGATTGGTGCAAACTCAGAACTTCATTTGCATGAAGGGCTTGCCCCCTTGGTGCAGACGCCTTCCTGTGCTGCCCTCTTCTGGTGCTGCAATATTCAGTCCCTATAAAGACTTGCTCTAGGGGGTCTTGCCTGACTTCACTGAGCTGATAGCGATGAAAAAGAGAAGGAATGGCAGCAAGGCAAGCGGTAGTACAACCGTGAGAGCTGAGTGGCCCCGCTGATCATGGGGAGGAAGCCAGCACAGCGGCCGGCTGAGCAGCGGCCGCAGCAGAGGAGCCAGTGAGCACCACCGCGGTGGGAGTCGGCTGTGGAGACAGCAGAAGTGCCGCTGGCTGCCTGGATCTGACCTCTCGCCACAGAGATTGGGGTCAGAGCCCAGTGCCATGCCCCTGTCGGGGCCTCAGGCCTGCGTTGCCGCCCTTGCTGCGAACAGCCCTGCTCTCGCTCGCTGCTGTCATCCCAGGGCCTACGATAACTGGAGAAGCTTCTTGCCTGCCCACCATTTCCAGCTGGGCAAAGCGAGAGCCAGCAGCTGGTGAGGTGGGAAGGATGGGGTTCCCGTGCTGTGGCTGCCCATGCTGCCTCCCTCCGACTCTCCACGGTCTGTCATGGATTCTATTCTGCAGCATCCATGTCTGAACCGTGTGCCAGGCTGGGGGCCTGGTCTAGAGCAGGGTTATCTGTCCCTCCTCCGGTCTCAGCCACACTCCGGCACACAGCACTGCTTTTTTGTTGTTGGTCGTGGGGCTTGAACTCTGGGCATGGGCACTGTCCCTCAGCTCTTCAGCTCAAAGTGAGCGCTCTACCACTTAAGCCACAGCGCCACTTCTGTTTTTCTGGTGGTTTATTGGAGATAAGTCTCACAGACTTTCCTGCCTCAGATCCCAGCCTCCTGAGTAGCTAGGATTACAGGCGTGAGCCACCGCACCTGGCTAAATTTTATGTAACTTTTTTTTTGCCAGTCTTGGGGCTAGAATTCTGGGCCTAGGCACGGTCTCTGAGCTCTCTTTGCTCAAGGCTAGTACTCTACCACTTGAGCCACAGCACCACTTCTGGCTTTTTCTGTGTATGTGGCACTGAGGAATCAAACCCAGGGCTTCATGCATGCAAGGCCAGCACCCTACCACTTAGCCACTTTCCCAGCCCACACAGCACTTCTTAATGAATGGGATGCCATTTAATGAACTCCTGAGCCAGGCAGCACTCACATGCCAGGTTCTTACCTTACCGACCCCTCACGGCAGTTATGTGTGACAGGTTCGCTCATGCATCGTGGAGCTCAGATCAGCAACGACTTCCAGCTCACCCCCAAAAATAACCTACGCGAAACTTCTTTTAAAACCCTCTTGGCCATGCTCCCTATCTGGCAGCAGATGCAGGCTGGGGAGAAAGACACTCATTTTCACAGTACCAAGCTGCTGCGGGCCTAGGACAGAGGCTGGGAGAAGGGTTCCCAACGTACAAGCGAACGGAGGAGAGCCGACCCCTGCCTGTGGCACAGAGCCATCCTGTGCTCTCAGGAGAGCCTGCAGGTGGCCGGCAACCCTTGGAGTTCAGCCAGTTTGTCCCAGAAAACACCACAAAGCCCAGCTTCTGTGGACATCCTGTGTGGAATATTTATTTTACACGCACATACATGCACATAAGATTCATTAACAGTATAAGCAGTGGGATATAGCTTTATACCTGTAAGTTTAAATATAAATAACCTGCGCTGCCTTTAGGGAGACTGGCCTTCTGACCGGCACAGGGAGGCCGAAGTCCAGGAGATCCTCTCAGCTGCGTGGATCAGAAGGGGAGACTGTATCTGAAGAGGAGTCTATATAAAACCCGGCCCCATCCTCATTTTGAAGGCAGAAAGAAGCAAGGAGGGTTTTGGTTCACTATCCCCAGGCCTGTCAAGTAACAGGGTGGTCGCAGGATGGAGGAAGCAGGGCTTGGGTGGTCACAGGATGGAGGAAGCAGGGTTTGAGGGGTCGCAGGATGGATGAAGTAGGGTTTGGGGGTCACAGGATAGAGGAAGCAGGGCTTGGGGGGGTCACAGGATGGAGGAGGTGGGGCTTGGGGGTCACAGGATGGATGAAGCAGGGTTTGGGGGGTCACAGGATGGAGGAGGCAGGGATTGGGGGTCACAGGATGGAGGAGGCAGGGCTTGGGGGTCACAGGATGGATGAAGCAGGGCTTTGGGGGGGGGTCACAGGATGAAGGAGGCAAGGCTTGGGGGTCACAGGATGGAGGAGGCAGGGATTGGGGGTCACAGGATGGAGGAGGCAGGGCTTGGGGGGGTCACAGGATGGAGGAGGCGGGGCTTGAGGGTCACAGGATGGAGGAGGCAGGGATTCGGGGTCACAGGATAGAGGCAGGGATGGGGGGGGTCACAGGATGGAGGAGGCGGGGCTTGAGGGTCACAGGATGGAGGAGGCGGGGCTTGAGGGTCACAGGATGGAGGAGGCGGGGCTTGAAGGTCACAGGATGGAGGAGGCGGGGCTTGGGGGGTCACAGGATGGAGGAGGCGGGGCTTGGGGGTGTCACAGGATGGAGGAGGCGGGGCTTGGGGGGGTCACAGGATGGAGGAGGCAGGGATTGGGGGTCACAGGATGGAGGAGGTGGGGCTTGGGGGGGTCACAGGATGGAGGAGGCAGGGATTCAGGGTCACAGGATGGAGGCAGGGATTGGGGGTCACAGGATGGAGGAGGCAGGGATTCAGGGTCACAGGATGGAGGCAGGGATTGGGGGGTCACAGGATGGAGGAGGCAGGGATTCAGGGTCACAGGATGGAGGAGGCAGGGCTTGGGGGGGTCACAGGATGGAGGAGGCGGGGCTTGAGGGTCATAGGATGGAGGAGGCGGGGCTTGAGGGTCACAGGATGGAGGAGGCAGGGATTCAGGGTCACAGGATGGAGGAGGCAGGGCTTGGGGGGTCACAGGATGGAGGAGGCAGGGATTGGGGGTCACAGGATGGAGGAGGTGGGGCTTGGGGGGGGTCACAGGATGGAGGAGGCAGGTCTTGAGGGTCCTGGCAAGCTGCCCCGTAGCCTCGTCTTCACTGTGCTCTAGCCCTCAGCAAACTTAGGGTTCATGACTGTTGTGGTGGCGCTCTTGAAAAGGGGATTATCCTGGGGAGAGAGCGAGCATGGTGGTCAGGGTAGGGGGTCTCCAGAGCCGACCGCTGACACCAAGGGCAAGTCCTTTCCAGGGCTCAGGCCTCAGGGACAAAGCTTGTGGGGCAGGGCAAACTCAGATAGCAGCTGGTGTGGTGTGTGCGTCTCCCACAGCCACGGCCAGGCCCTACCAGGGGGCTGCAGGGGACAGGGATGCCTTCCCTCCCTGGAGGAGCCCAGGACAGCACGTACATTGTTCCACTGAGACTTGAGCTTCTCCTTCTCGAAGCGTCTGTACTCCCGGAGGTCACTCAGGTGGGTCAGGGCCTTCCAGATGACCAGCAGGAGGACACCGATCAACACGATGCCTGCCACAGTGCCCCCTACAATGGCGCCGATTTGGGGGCCCTCCACGCACTCTGAGTAGGAAGAACATGTCCCAGGGGTCAATTGCCTCAAAGGCGGCAGACACTAACCGTGCCTCCTTCCTACGGCCAGGGCCACTGCGTGGCTCACCACCCACCACACCGTGACGGTGGGGGAGAGAACACGGGCCAGGCCTGTGGCTCCAGCTGACACTAGCACGGCCGCTTGTTCACAGAGGAGGCCGGGACGCAGGCCATCCCACGCAGACCCTCACAGCGTGCCAGCACCAGCTCTGGGACGGTCTGTCCCTAAGCCTGCCGATGGTGACTGATACTTTGTGGGGACATGCTTGAGGGGCTCCCCATCACCACAGTGGAGCAAGAAGGGGACCGGCGTGGTCTCTGCTCATGCCAGGCACTCGGGAAGGTGATCCTGATCATGAGATACCTAACCTCCCCCCACCCCAGTTGTGTAGCACAGGGACACGCAGAGTTCCACAACAAAGGCCATCTGGAGGAGAGAGAAACACAGCCCCGCCCAGGCCAGCCCTTGGTTGCCCCAGCTGTCTTCTGGTTGGTCAGTAACCACCAACTGGCTCGTGCCAAGCAAGCCTCTCTGCCTTTAACCCTCACTCAACTCCCCTAGGCCTGCTCACAACCACCGGCTTCAATAAAGGACTTGCGTGTGGCACTCCTCTACTTGGACTTGTGTGGGTCCAACAGGAACAGCCAGCAGGAGCCAGAGGCCTGTGCTCAGGCAGCCGAGACGGCTGCACACAGGCAGGGTGCACGCGCTGTGCCCGGCCTCCCCCAGAGTGCAGGGTCCGGGCCCCAGAGCCACACCGCAGGCCCTGGCCTGGACAGAGATGCGCCCGGTCACTGGAGCTCCTCTGCGGCCCACTCCAGCATTTTCTGGGTCCCTCTCCAGTCATCTTGGCCTCCGCAGGGAAGCCCTGGACCTCGTAGGGGTTAGGTAACAGCCAGTCTGGTACTAAACCAGCTGCGAGCCCAAATCTGTACATCAGAATGACCTAGACAGTCTGGAGCCTGTGGTCCCAGGACCCAGAGCAGGCCATGAGCCCCAGGAACATGGCACAGAGTCTGAGGCCCGCCTGGCACGCCTTGGTGTCCTCTTGAGGAGGGGTGGCCACAGGGTGGTGCTAGTTCTGGGGTGCTGCTGGCCCGGGTTTCCCGAGACCACCTGAGCAGCCTCCCCACCCGGATCCCCAGCTCTCCGAGCTGAGACGGGGCAAGGTGTCCGGACCCTGGGAGCTGCCTGTCTAACACCCTGGGAAGGCCCATCCCTCACCAGTCATTCTGTCCCGCATCCATGGTCATGGCACACAAACCACCTCCTGAACACCCTCATCCCAAGCCTCTGCCTCCATCTCTGGGGACCTGGGCCCTCGAACCATCACCATCCCTCCTGGTGCAATCCCGCCATGCTACACCCAGGGCAGGCTCTGTCCATGCCACCCGGCCCACAGGTCATCAACAGGAAGGTGACACCTGGCCTCTGACAGGCTGTGTCCACCCACCAACCACTGGGCTGTCATCCAACTACCTTCTGACTGCAGAAGTGCCTAGCTCCCCAGAAAGTACAGAGCCTCCTGGCCTCTGACTGGCCAGTGCTCAGTCCACCCCCAGGAGGACCATGTCCATCCTGCTCCTGACAGAACCACGTCCACCCGGCCTCTCACATGACGGTAGGACACTGACCACTTCGAGCCCTCACAGGATGGTGTCCACTTGCTGCCAGCTGGGCTTTTATAAACAGACCTGTGTAATCCCTTTTCTTCTGGAAGCTCATTAATAGCTTCCTGGCATGGGCAGGGACAGACCCACACCCCCAGGGCTGGTGCAGGCTGCCCTGAGCAAGCACCGCCCTCCCCTTGGAAGGCTTGGCCTCAGGGGCCCATCCCCTCTGGTCTTCACATCCTGGGAGCCTGGCCACAGACCCATGTGATCGGACGCTGGCATCTGGTGCCCCTGGCACGTGAGCCCAGGAAGCCCAGGTTGGAGGCCCCAGGACCACGGGCAGGGACCAGAGCCCCATGAAGGGACAGCAGCTTGGAGCTGTCAGCACTTGTGCCCATGTGGGGCATCTGCCAGCATCGGCAGCCCCCAGCCCCGTCACGTGAGAGGTGCCCAGCCAGGATGGGGGGAATGCCCCACTCAGCAGTGTGGTTCCATGCTCAGTGCAGGCGGTGTGCCTGCCGAGGACCCTGCTCACCGCCCTCCGCAGCACCAGGTAAGGTCGGGGGAACGGGAGAGAAAGCCAGGAGGGCAGGGCAGGTGTTCAGCAGCCAGCCTGCCCCACCCCACAGACACACCAACCCTGCAGCCCCTCACATCTGTGGTTGGAGTTCTTGTCACCATAGTCCACCTGCCCACACTATGGCCCTGCCCGGCCTCACCTCGGCTGTCCTCCACGTAGATGTCGTAGCTGTCCCTCCCGTCCCGCTGCTGCATGGTGTAGGAGATCCAGCAGTTGTCCGAGTCCCGCTCCTTGCAGGACTTGCCCTTCCTGGTGGCGTTCTGCAGCCTCACGTTCACACACGCAGCGCTGCAGTTCTTCTCATAGGGGCCCTTGGCGAATTTCAGGCACTCCACGCAGGAGCTGCAGAGGACAGGGGTGAGCAGGTGTGCGGGTGCTGGGTGGTAAGAGCTTCAGACGGGACGCGTGTGGATGGGTGTGCCAGGGTGTGTGGTATGCACACCTGGGGTGTGGTCTGGGTGCTGGCTCTCCAGTGGATGGGGGTGTGGGGAGTGCATGCTGGGGAGCTGAAGGGCTCAGAGGGAGGCGGGGCGCACGGCCCAGCCAGCTGGACCCTGCCTGGGACTGCTGCGAAGCGGGTGCTCCCGGGCGTCCCCAGCGTGCCCGGAGCCAGGCAGGCCTGGGCGGCGGGCACACTCACATGTAGCTGCTGCAGGGCGCTGGGCAGCCCGGGCACTCCTCGCACAGGGGCGGCTGGTAGCCAGGGTCACACTTGCACGTGTTGCACTGGCACCTGCCGCGGCCGCTGCATTCCACCCGGCGTGGGTTCAGGCAGCCTGTGGTGGACCTCGAGCACTGGCAGGCAGAGCCCTCGAATCCCGGCTTGCATTGGCACTGGCCGCAGAAACACTCACCCCTCTCTGGAGACAGCAAGATCCAGGGATTCACCGGGCAGCCGGGAGGCCCACACCACCCCCCGGGGCTGCTCCTTCCCCAGACATGGCCTTCCGCAGAGGTGGGAATGTCCAGCCTCCACCCGCCCTTCCCTGCCCTCTGCCCATCCCTCCTCCATCCTCCTCCTGCCCCTCCTCCACCCTCTGCCTGCCCTCCCTGGGCTCCACAACCCCAGAAAGGACAACTGAGCTTGGGCAAAGGCACCAGACCCTGGGCGGGCCACATGGCCACACAGCACCACAGCGGTCGCTCAGCCAGTGTGGGCCTCCACAGCCCACCAGTGAACAGAATCCTCTCTCTCAGCACACTGCTTGGTCTTCTAGAAACCTGCCGGCCAGGCCTGCTGAGAGGCCCCGTGAAACACACAAGCATCTGCCCATCTGTCTATGTCCCATATCCGATTTTCAGTCCTTTACAGCGCCTGGGGACAAGAAGGCCCAGGCCAGGCCGCCACTCACTCGGGCCACCGCAGGGCTGGCCTTGGTGCCGCTCACAGTTGACGTTGTCACACTCGCAGTACCGCCCAAAGATCTCCTTGTTGGGTTCGTCGCTGGCGTGGCACATACACTGCCCGCAGACGCAGTCCCCCATCCCCGAGCACACGAGGGAGCTGTTGTCCTTCCGGCAGCTTCCCTCCAGCTCCTGGCTGCTCTTGCCCTGTGTCTGACACTCGCAGTTCTTCCCAATGTAGCCAGCATCACACCTGGGGTGAGAGGTGCTGGGCTCAGGGCCTCCCCTGTGGTGGGGACACTTCCTGTCCTCAGGCCCGCCCCTGTGGTGAGAACACTTCCTGTCCTCAGGCCGGCCCCTGTGGTGAGGACACTTCCTGTCCTCAGGCCCGCCCCTGTGGTGGGGACACTTCCTGTCCTCAGGCCCTCCCCTGTGGTGGGGACACTTCCTGTCCTCAGGCCCGCCCCTGTGGTGAGAACACTTCCTGTCCTCAGGCCCGCCCCTGTGGTGAGAACACTTCCTGTCCTCAGGCCCGCCCCTGTGGTGGGGACACTTCCTGTCCTCGGGCCCTCCCCTGTGGTGGGGACACTTTCTGTGCTCAGGCCCACCCCTGAGGTGGGGACACTTCCTGTCCTCAGGACCTACCCTGTGGTGGGGATACTTCCTGTCCTCAGGACCCACCCCTGTGGTGGGGACACTTCCTGTGCTCAGGCCCGCCCCTGTGGTGGGGACACTTTCTGTGCTCAGGCCCTCCCCTGTGGTGGGGACACTTCCTGTCCTCAGGCCCTCCCCTGTGGTGGGGACACTTCCTGTGCTCAGGACCTACCCTGTGGTGAGGACACTTCTTCGGCTAAGGGCCACTGGTCCACACTGGCAGTGTTATCAGCTCTGAGTCTGCTTCCCCATGAACCTGGCCAGGTCATCTCTAGGGCACACTGTGACCCTGGCACCGGTGGAGCTGTGCAGACAGCCTGAGCCAGTGCGTGCTCCCTCCCAGTCCTCAGTGCTGTCTACACAGCGCGTGCTCCCTCCCAGTCCTCAGCACTGTCTACACACAGCGCGTGCTCCCTCCCAGTCCTCAGCGCTGTCTACACACAGCGCGTGCTCCCTCCCAGTCCTCAGCACTGTCTACACACAGCGCGTGCTCCCTCCCAGTCCTCAGCACTGTCTACACACAGCGCGTGCTCCCTCCCCAGTCCTCAGTGCTGTCTACACAGCGCGTGCTCCCTCCCAGTCCTCAGCACTGTCTACACACAGCGCGTGCTCCCTCCCAGTCCTCAGCACTGTCTACACACAGCGCGTGCTCCCTCCCAGTCCTCAGCACTGTCTACACACAGCGCGTGCTCCCTCCCAGTCCTCAGCGCTGTCTACACACAGCGCGTGCTCCCTCCCAGTCCTCAGTGCTGTCTACACAGCGCGTGCTCCCTCCCAGTCCTCAGCACTGTCTACACACAGCGCGTGCTCCCTCCCAGTCCTCAGCGCTGTCTACACAGCACGTGCTCCCTCCCCAGTCCTCAGCGCTGTCCACACACAGCGCGTGCTCCCTCCCAGTCCTCAGCACTGTCTACACACAGCGCATGCTCCCTCCCAGTCCTCAGTGCTGTCCACACACAGCGCGTGCTCCCTCCCAGTCCTCAGTGCTGTCTACACAGCGCGTGCTCCCTCCCAGTCCTCAGCACTGTCTACACACAGCGCGTGCTCCCTCCAGTCCTCAGCACTGTCTACACACAGCGCGTGCTCCCTCCCAGTCCTCAGCACTGTCCACACACAGCGCGTGCTCCCTCCCAGTCCTCAGCACTGTCTACACACAGCGCGTGCTCCCTCCCAGTCCTCAGTGCTGTCTACACAGCGCGTGCTCCCTCCCAGTCCTCAGCACTGTCTACACACAGCGCATGCTCCCTCCCAGTCCTCAGTGCTGTCTACACAGCGCGTGCTCCCTCCCAGCCCTCAGCGCTGTCTACACACAGCGCGTGCTCCCTCCCAGTCCTCAGCACTGTCTACACACAGCGCGTGCTCCCTCCCAGTCCTCAGCGCTGTCTACACACAGCGCGTGCTCCCTCCCAGTCCTCAGCGCTGTCTACACAGCGCGTGCTCCCTCCCAGTCCTCAGCACTGTCTACACACAGCGCGTGCTCCCTCCCAGTCCTCAGTGCTGTCTACACACAGCGCGTGCTCCCTCCCAGTCCTCAGCACTGTCTACACACAGCGCGTGCTCCCTCCCAGTCCTCAGCGCTGTCCACACACAGCGCGTGCTCCCTCCCAGTCCTCAGCACTGTCTACACACAGCGCGTGCTCCCTCCCAGTCCTCAGCACTGTCTACACACAGCGCGTGCTCCCTCCCAGTCCTCAGCGCTGTCTACACACAGCGCGTGCTCCCTCCCAGTCCTCAGTGCTGTCTACACAGCGCGTGCTCCCTCCCAGTCCTCAGCACTGTCTACACACAGCGCGTGCTCCCTCCAGTCCTCAGCACTGTCTACACACAGCGCGTGCTCCCTCCCAGTCCTCAGCGCTGTCTACACACAGCGCGTGCTCCCTCCCAGTCCTCAGCGCTGTCTACACACAGCGCGTGCTCCCTCCCAGTCCTCAGTGCTGTCTACACAGCGCGTGCTCCCTCCCAGTCCTCAGCACTGTCTACACACAGCGCGTGCTCCCTCCCAGTCCTCAGCACTGTCTACACACAGCGCGTGCTCCCTCCCAGTCCTCAGCACTGTCTACACACAGCGCGTGCTCCCTCCCAGTCCTCAGTGCTGTCTACACAGCGCATGCTCCCTCCCAGTCCTCAGCACTGTCTACACACAGCACGTGCTCCCTCCCAGTCCTCAGCACTGTCTACACACAGCGCGTGCTCCCTCCCAGTCCTCAGTGCTGTCTACACACAGCGCGTGCTCCCTCCCAGTCCTCAGCGCTGTCTACACAGCGCGTGCTCCCTCCCAGTCCTCAGTGCTGTCTACACAGCGCGTGCTCCCTCCCAGTCCTCAGCACTGTCTACACACAGCGCGTGCTCCCTCCCAGCCCTCAGCACTGTCTACACACAGCGCGTGCTCCCTCCCAGTCCTCAGCACTGTCTACACACAGGGCGTGCTCCCTCCCAGTCCTCAGCACTGTCTACACACAGCGCGTCCTCCCTCCCCAGTCCTCAGGCGGTGGCAGGATGCATGGTGCCGTCTCCCACAGCACTAGCTGGCAGGAAGCAGTGGCACACGCAGCTCAGTAGGAAGATGGGGGCAGTAGCCAGGCCACTGGTGTGTCCAGGTGTGTTCAGAGAGGATGCTGAGATGGGCTGCCCTGCCTCGGGGAGGAGGAATCTTCTGGATCATTGACCAGTGGCGATGTGCTCTGAGGAGTTGTCCTCAGACCCTGCACACCCAGACCAGTGAGGGCATGGTGCAAAGCGAGGGGGTTGCTGCACCTCCTGCCCCACAGCCGGCCCTGCCTGCCCTGCGGGTGTGCGTGCCCGCCTCACCTGCAGACGCCGCACTCCAGCGAGCCCTTGCCCCCGCAGAGCCCGCGGTCCTGCTTCTGGTCCCGACACTGGCACTGGCACTGCGGGAGGACCCGCACGGTCACTGTGTCTGTGAAGCCCAGGGCCCGGATGACAAACGACTGCTGCTGCAGGCAGGCGGTGGCCGTGACCTTCACCTGGAAGGTGATCTGTGGGGAGAGCAGGACACAGTGGGGAGGGGAGGCAGGCCTCGCTCCGCAGGGCCGTGTGGACGGGGGTGCCGGCGCCCCGTGCCCTCCACGGGGCTCCTGTGGATGGAGGCGTCCGCAGGGCTGTGTGGACAGAGGCGTGGGTGCCCTACGCCTCCCTGTGTGGACAGAGGCGTGGGTGCCCTACGCCTCCCTGTGTGGACAGAGGCGCTGTGCTCTGCTCACCCTGCAGCCACCCCCAGGCACTATCTCGAGCCGGCACACACTGGCTCACTGCTGGGATCACTGCTGGGACCCTCCTGCTATTCCCATGGGACCCCTGCTCCCCTCCCTGTTGGTAGGGCCAACAGGGAGCACGGACAGGCCTTCTAGCAGCTGGCATCCCAGGCCATGTGGAAGCCAGGCTTACTAGGCCAGGGTGGAGACCTGGGTTCCTGGGTCAGGATGGAGGCTAGGGCTCCCGGGCTGGGGTGGGGGCCAGGGTTCCTGGGTCAGGATGGAGGCCAGGGCTCCAGGGCCGGGGTGGAGGCCCAGCTTACCGGGACATTGATCTGCACGCCATCGCAGTCTCCTCTGGGCTGGCCCATGTGAGATGCCCCGTTACTGCAGAAAGAGTCGTAGGTGACCCTCAGGGTGTCGGGGAGGGGACTGTGGTCCAGGAAGACGCGGGAGGACAGTTTCTGCAAGCAGAGTGGCCAGGCTTAGGGGTGAGAGCTCTTGGAACACCGCTTACTTCCAAGAGATTTCCAGGGTAGCTGGGGACCCACTGGTGCCGGACCCTGAGTGGAGCCTGGCTCACTCCCACAGGTACCAGGACCCCGGTCTGGGAGCAGCACAGCTCTGGGGGCAGCAGCAGGGTGGGCCGGGAGCCTGGGAGGAGGAGAAGGAGGGGGAGGAGGGGGGTGAAGGAGGAGGAGGGGGGAAGGAGGAGGGGGGAAGGAGGAGGAGGGGGAGGAAGAGGAGGGGGAGGAGGGGGGGAAGGAGGAGGAGGGGGGAAGGAGGAGGGGGGAAGGAGGAGGAGGGGGAGGAGGGGAAGGGAAAGAGGAGGAGGGGGAGGAGGAGGAGTGACCCTGCAGGGCTCGTGCAGGACAGTGTAGGGAGGCTGGCAAAAGGGGTGCCCCACCCCATGGGCATCTTTGCAGGGATTCCGGGGCCTCCCCCATAGGGAAAACATCTGCCCCCCTTCTCCAGGGTGACCAGCGGGCAGAGCCCCGAGGGAGGAGTGGGGGGGGGACTGGGTGGCACCCCCACACCATCGATGAGAGGACACAGATCTGTTTTGTGTGAGTGGCCACCAGGCTGAGGGGGCCAATGAGACAGGGCTCCCCCCTCCCCGTCCTTCTGCTGGCCAGCAGGGGGGCAGGGGTGCTGGCTTCTGGGGCCCAGCCCGCCCCCTCTCCCCCCGCACCGCGCCCTGCCAGCGACTCACATTATAGGCGTTTTTGATGAGCTGCACCACATTGCTGGAGTCATCAGACAGCTCCCCGACAGCTGACTTGGGGATGATCTCGGTGAGTTTCTGTTGGTGAGAGGGACAGATGGGTGCAGCTAGCACCGGAGTCCTCCTGGGTGCGGGCTTGTCATGTCCAGGGGCCTCTGGTGCCTATGAGGCGGCTCGGCCACCCTCAGTGTGACCACCACTGCAGAGCACCTGGTTACTGGCGGGATTTCAACAACTGGCTCTCAGGAACGAAGCAGCCCGGGTGTTTGGTGTGAATGCTCCCAGGGGTCACTGCTGAACTGGCCATGTCCCTAATTGGGACTCTTGCCTGGTTCACCAGGGGACAGCATTTCCACTATACCAGTGTGGTGGGCAGAAATAACCCAAGGGGTACAGTTATCCGTAAAATGAGGCAAAAATCTCTGGGAAGTGGTGAGTCCTGTGCATTTCAAGGGCTTGAATGACTGCATTTTAACAGTGACCGTACTGTATTACTCCTGCAATGGTCAGCCATAGCAGACAGCCATGCTGCCCAGAAGTGCCCCCAGGGGTAGACTGGCCAGAGGGCCCCCCCATTACAGACAAGCCAGCCCTTCCCACACCCGCCTTGTCTGTGTGTCTCATGAAAAGAAACACTTCCCCTCTGAGGACACAGGACTCGGGGCAGGGCTGCTTCCTGCTGACGATGACTCCAAAGAATGGAGTCCAGTGCCCTCTAAGGAGTCACGAGGCCACCACAGCCTGGTTGTCACCTCCTCCAGGCTGTGTGAGAGGCAGCCCTAGCCCTCGGAAGCCTCTGCCTGTGGAACCTGCTCTCTGCCCAGGCCAGTAGCTGTGGACAGTGTGACCGTACTGTCCAGGCTGCTCCCTGCTGCCTTGGCCAAATCCCAGCAACAGAAATGCACGACAGCCTGTGGCCCCAGGGAGGGGGTGGCCTGGGGGACTGGCCATGGCTCCTGCGGCAGCAGCCAAGATCAGGACCTGCTGTGACACCTGAGGAGGGACACCACGGCCTCACCACAGAGGAGTGGGGGCCGCCATGTCCTGACTGCTGGGAAGTCCCTCCTCCTATTCTGTCCTGTCTATCAGCCCTGGGCCGAGCTGACCCGCTGTGCTGGCAGTGTCACCAGCTCTCACCGCTCACCCAGACACCTCCTCCTCTGCCTCTGAGGCTCCTGCCCTTCTCTGGATCCCAGGATACGGCCGCAGGAATGCTGGCCTTCCTTCCGGCCCTGTGCACAGCAAGGCTATGATGGCTATCCTGGATATGAACCTGACTTCCCAGTCTGAGGCTCAGCGATGCCCATTCCACAGAGGCAATCACCCGGCACTCTGCATGGCCTCCCCAGCCTGAGCTCAGCCTCTCAGTCCGAAGCCGCAGGAGCCATGCCCAGGGCCCTCCATGCACAGGAGAGAGAGGTGAAGTGGGGCTCTGCGCTTCGCGTTGACGAAGATGGTAGTAACAACAGAAGCAGGCACTGTCTACGTGAGAATCCAGCCATGGGCAGCCGCTCTTGGCCGTCACTGAGCGCACTGGCGCAGGGACACTCGGACCGCCCTCCCAGCCGGCAGCGCTGCTCCTTGTAGAGGCAGGAAAAGGAGGCCTGCTGAGGACTGGCCCAGGTAGTTTGGCTGCAATTGAGCTGGGGTCTGCGATTTCTGTGCAGGGACCCCGCTGGCTCTGAAGAACCTGACACAGATCTATAAACAATCACGACCACAACCGTCCATTGTCCAACATACACACCTCATTCTGCCTCACTTGCCTCTCAGGCCACCGCCACTGGAGGAGGCTTCTTAGGGGAGAAGGCACAGAATCTCCCCCTTTCTGCAAACCCCTGTTGCACTGTGAATCCATGGGCATGGGCTATCCGCATCTTACACCTTCCCAAGGACGATGAACCCCGGCAGGGATCACTCCAGGAGCTCAGCAGTGCGATGGGGCGGGCAGGCACAGGATGGGGGGGGGGGTGAGCTTATCATCTAGATGGGCTGGAGGCCAAGGTCAACCTCAAAGGTAGCTGGCCACATCTGCATGGCTGGACCTTGATGTTCCAGCATGTGACTGCGGAAGCACGGCTCCACGCCGGGCTCCACACACGCACGGCTCCACACATGCATGGCTCCACACCAGGCTCCACGCCGGGCTCCACACACCGCGCCCAGAGCTGTCCATGCTCCTCGGGAGACAGCTGCAAGTTTGTGCCTGGTCTCTGGACTCCACCACAAACTGTTCTTTCCTCTTTGCTGCTTTTAATCTGAATCCCACACTAATAAATGTACCTGTGAATCTATGGTTTTGTTGGGTCCTGTGGCATGACCAGTGAACCACCGGACAGGAGAGGGTCAAGAAGCCCTGACCACACCGGAGCTCCCTGAGTGCATCAGTGTGTCCCCTGGGGACGTTGCCCAGTGGCTGTCTTACCAATCCAGGCGCATGCGCCACCAGCAGCAGCAGCAGCACTGTGGGACAAGGCACTGGGCAGCGCTTGGCACAGCCCAAGTCTGCCCGGCTGCTCTGACAGAGACAGGGTGGTGAGGGCTATGGGAAGTCACCACAGACACAGGAAATGTCCCTCCTGCTGCTGCTGCTTGTGTCCTGACACCACTGGACCCAGTCACTTCCCTCTTCAAAGGCACGTGGACAAAGGCAGAACCCCTGCCATGTGGGCTGGGAACGGTGGGGCACCCCTCAGCAAGCAGCAGCCGCTGCCTGCGTCCCGAGGCCTGCGCTCATCCCGAGGCCTGGGCGCCCACATCAGCAGAGTTGAGATCAGCGCCAGAGCGGGGAGCTTGGGGAAATCAGATCCAGCTCCAACTGCATGCTCTTTCTTTCTTTCTTTCTTTCTTTCTGTTGGCCGTGGGACTTGAACTCTGGGCCTGGGGGCTGTCCCTCAGCTCTTCAACTCAAGATGAGCTCTCTACCTCTTGAGCCACAGTGCTACTTCCAGTTTTCTGGTGGTTTATTGGAGATAAGAGTCTCATGGACTTTCCTGCCCAGGCTAGCTTTGAACCTCGATCCTCAGATCTCAGCCTCCTGAGTAGCTAGGATGACAGGCGTGAGCCACCAGCGCCTGGCTCCAACTGCAGTGTCTAAACCCAAAACACAGGGTACAGATGAGGGCTGCGTCCTTCCCCAGGCAAGATGTCTGGCTGCTTCAAAGCAAAGTGACAGGTGGTCTCAGAGCGATGCCCTCCACAGTTGGTCATGTCTCAGCTCCCGCCTTCCAGGGTCTTTAGGGGACACGTGCTCCAACCAACCATCGGAAGAAGAGGCGTGAGTGGTAGGCCCTGCCCAGGCCTCCCCCGGGTGGCTACAGCAGGACCCGGCTCGGTTACCCAGCTAGACCCCCTATATGAAATCCACCCCACTGTGCCCCGGATGTGTGGGCTCCTCCGCTATGTCTGACTCTGTGTGAAATGTCGCCATTCAAATGCATATAAGCAGAAAACAAGGAAGTTTCCCCAAATTAACAAATCAGATCTGCAGAATTGCCACATTCCAGTAAAAATAAAAACAAAAAACAGGAACACCACCAGCAAGACCTATGCCATGATTATTACAGAACTTCACGTCAGGAGAAACACTTGCTGGACGCCACGCATGAACACCATGCCACAAAGAGCTCCCCACACCTCCCAAACCACCATCCCACCCACAACGGCGTGGCCAAGGCCAGGGGGCCACACACCAGCACAGGAAGCAGAATGAGGCGACACCCCAGCAGGCTGGGTTTGTCATCCCACAGTGACGTGGTCCGCCCTCCCCCGCCTACCCCACATTGCCCAAGACCCCACCCCACTCACCTCATAGGTTTTTACCATCCTCTTGGTCACTGCAAAGATGGGCTGGATGTTGTTTTCTGCCAGTTTGTGTGCCAGCTGGCCCACCGATGGGTAGTCCTGGAGAGACACCTGTCAGATGGTGCCTGGGGCAGAGAGCAAGCCTTCCAGGTCACCTTGTTTAAGAAAGCCAGTGTCCAAGACCCCTGCACCAGCTGCTGGCAATTCAGGCCTGCCCATCTGGTATTATGGTGGCCTCTTCTCTGAATAAGGTTTGTAAGTTGTGCAGGAAACTGGCTCTATCAAAACACAGTTACAGTTTTCTGTATCAACACTTGATACAGAATGGAGCATGAATAACCACTCCTGATTTAAAGCCAGCTAAAGTGAGAGCTGTGTGTGTGTGTGTGTGTGTGTGTGTGTATGCGCGCACACGCATGCGTGCTTGCATGCATGCATGCACTATCCTAGGGCTTGAACTCAGGGCCTGGGCGCTGTCCCTTTACTTTTTGCACAAGCCTAGTGCCCTACCACTTGAGCCACAGCTCCACTTCTGGGGGGTTTTGGTAGTTCATTGCAGATAAGAGTCTCACAGACTTTCCTACCTGGGCTGGCCTTAAACCACAATCTGCAGATCTCAGCCTCCTGAGTAGCTAGGATTACAAGTGTGAGGCACAGACATACAGGCTTGAGAGCAGCATTTTGATGGTCCCGTGCTGGGGACATGGGGCATACATCTGGTCTCCCCAGGGTAGCACTCTGATACTACCCTGGCCAAAGTGATGTCTACATCTCTGGGAGATGCTCAAGAGGCAGAGCCTCTTGGATATCAGGTGTCACACTCCCTGTCTATGTCTTGGATCCCCAGTTCTCCCCTCAACACTGCTCAGCTGCGGGATGCTGGTGGGGAGCCCAAGTTGTAGCAGCTTTGCAATCCTTCGGGGGAGTAAGAGGGTGTCCAGGGATGGCCTCAGCCCTGGCCCATCTCCTCTAGTGAGGGCTGGATGGAGTCCAGGAGGACTGTGGGCGAAGGTTCCTGTACCGATGTTACAGGCCCCGGGACAGGAGCTGGGGCAGCCTGAGGGGGAGGCTGCAAAGGCAGGATCCCTGCATGAAGTCCAAGGCCAGAGACGCCTCAGCCATCCACTGTCCTCTCCTAGCCTGCCACTGGGTCTCCAGGACCTCACTGGCACACTCAGGGCTTCTGGAAGTTTCTTAGGTTGGAAGGAGGTGTCCAGGCTCTGGCAAGGTGACCCGAACAAGACGGTGTGCAGAGGCTGCTCTCCCCGCTGCCCCCCTGCTTCTCCCCAGTGGGCCCTAAGAGCCCCAGGGGCTCCTAACCCACCCCAGGGACCCTTGAGGTGGGGGCCAGGAGGGCACTCACGAATTCATTGCTTCTTTTGTACATGTTGTTCTCCAGGTGGCAGCGGCCGTCATTAGGGGTCAGGATGGCACCCAGCTTCCCGTCGCCCGCAAAGTGGAAGCCATCATCTGTGGCATACACCAGCAGCCGCGTGACATTGCGCCAGCCAATTTCCTCCTGGAGGAAGAAGGTCGGGTGTTGCCAGCCTTGGCTTCCCACCAGACCCTCTGGTAGCTGGGCTGGGCAGCAGTGGCCCCTCCTGCATTCTCACAGCTAGGAGAACAGGAAGAAAGGGACAGGACAGAGCAGGCAACGTGCCCAAGCTGACGCCCCCCAGGCCTGCTCCATGGGAGGTAGGGGCTGGAACATAGGTCACAGTCTAAAAGAAAGCCTGGATTAGTCACCTGATTAGCCAGAAACAGATCCCAAAAGAGAAGAAACGTACGCAGAAACATCCGTTACAGTATAGAAACATCACCACAGTTGACAACCACCCACCACAGTGTAGAAACATCCACCACAGTGTGGAAAACTCCAAGTGAAAGGAAGAGCCCGAGGGATGTCCACAGGAGTGGCTGGAGTGTCCCTGGAGGGGCCCATGTGCACGATGTAGGTCTCACACGCATTCATGACCTCACAGCATGGAAGGCTCATCTAGAACATGCACGAGCACCGAGTGCCCCAGACCCCAGCGTGGCTGCACCAGGCTGTGCGTGTCAGGACACCATAGTCACATCAACATTAGTTACAAAGACAGCCTGCAACAGGTGTGGACAGGACATGGGTGAGTAGACAGGACGTCACAAGGACGTGGACATGGTGAGGACACGGGACATGGGTGAGGACATGGACATGGTGAGGACACGGGACGTGGCCAGGACACGGGATGTGGGTGAGGACACGGGACGTGGGTGAGGACACAGGACATGGTAAGGAGGTGGGATGTGGATGAGGACAGGGGACGTGGTGAGGACACGGGACGTGGGTGAGGACATGGGACGTGGGTGAGGACACGGGACATGGCGAGGACACGGGACGTGGCGAGGACACGAGACATGGTGAGGACACGGGACGTGGGTGAGGACAGGGGATGTGGTGAGGACACGGGACGTGGATGAGGACACGGGACATGGGTGAGGACACGGGACGTGGGTGAAGACACGGGACGTGGCGAGGACACGGGACGTGGCGAGGACACAAGATGTGGGTGAGGACATGGGACATGGGTGAGGACACGGGATGTGGATGAGGACAGGGGACGTGGTGAGGACATGGGACATGGGTGAGGACACGGGACGTGGGTGAAGACACGGGACATGGCGAGGACACGGGACATGGCGAGGACACGGGACATGGCGAGGACACGGGACGTGGGTGAGGACACAAGACATGGTAAGGAGGTGGGACGTGGATGAGGACAGGGGACGTGGTGAGGACACGGGACGTGGGTGAGGACATGGACATGGCGAGGACACGGGACGTGGGTGAGGACATGGACATGGCGAGGACACGAGATATGGGTGAGGACACGGGACGTGGGTGAGGACACGGGATGTGGGTGAGGACACGGGACGTGGGTGAGGACACGGGAAGTGGGTGAGGACACAGGACGTGGGTGAGGACACGGGATGTGGGTGAGGACACGGGACGTGGGTGAAGACACAGGACATGGTAAGGACACAGGACGTGGCGAGGACATGAGACATGGTAAGGAGGTGGGATGTGGATGAGGACATGGGACGTGGGTGAGGACACGGGATGTGGGTGAAGACACGGGACATGGTGAGGACACAGGACGTAGATGACACGGGATGTAGTGAGGACATGGGATGTGGCGAGGACACGAGACGTGGGTGAGGACACGGGACGTGGGTGAGGACACGGGACGTGGATGAGGACACGGGACGTGGTGAGGACACGGGACGTGGGTGAGGACACGGGACACGGTGAGGACACGGGACGTGGGTGAAGACACGGGACACGGTGAGGACACGGGACGTGGTGAGGACACGGGACGTAGATGAGGACACGGTACGTGGCGAGGACACGGGACGTGGTGAGGACACGGGACATAGATGAGGACACGGGACGTGGATGAGGACACAGGACATGGTAAGGAGGTGGGATGTGGATGAGGACAGGGGACGTGGTGAGGACACGGGACGTGGGTGAGGACACGGGACGTGGTGAGGACACGGGACACGGTGAGGACACGGGACGTGGTGAGGACACGGGACACGGTGAGGACACGGGACGTGGTGAGGACACGGGACACGGTGAGGACACGGGATGTGGTGAGGACACGGGACGTGGTGAGGACACAGCTTGGCAGAGCCCCCACCCTCTTGGCTGGTGAGGAAGGAGAGAAATCAGCTTTGACTCCCAAGGACCTTTTATAGAAGACATTAGACTTCAGAAGAGCATAGGGGTCACCAGTTAGCCACAAAACCCTGCGCCTCATGTCCCTGGCTCTGCGGCCTGGAGGCTGGGGGAGGGCGGCAGCCCAAGGCAGGTGCTGTCCTCTTGAGGCCCCATTAGCAGGTGAGGTCAGGACCCAGCAGGCAGGGCCAGTCCCTGAGCCCACTGGCCTGTGGTGCCAGGGCCCGAGGCCCGCAGCCCCTGGTGGGCCCGCAGGACCCGGGCAGACCGGGCACTCACCGGGCAAGCGGCCACTTGCATCATGGCATCCAGCCCACCCTCGGGGGCGTCCAGGTTTCCAGAAATCAGCTGCTTCCCAACCTCTGTCTGGAACTGGTTGGAGTTGTCGGTGAGCTTCAGCACGTGCCGGAAGGCAAACGGGGCCTGGCACCCCTTCTCCTTGTTGGGACACGGGTTCTTCAGCTTCTCAGGGTGTGTGTTGACAAACGGCAGCACTGTCTTATCCACGAAGGACCCAAAGCCTGAGGACACATGGCACTGGCTGAGGAGGACAGGGAACCAGCCAGCCTTGAGGGAGTGTGACCTTGTTATCACCGGAGGACAAGGGAGAAAGCACACCAGGGCCCCAAGGAACATGTGTGTGCACACGTGCAAGTCATGCACACCTCTGAGCATGAGCGTGTGTGTGTAACGTGAGTATAGGTGTGGCATATCAATGTACGCACATGAATCCAGATACATGGTCTACACATGTGAATGTGACTGTGTGCACATGTGTGTCTGTACATGTGGGCATAGGTGTGTGAACTCTACACACATGTTCCTGGGTATGCACAAGGGACTGAGTGTGACCACGTACCTGGGTGGACATGAATGTGTGACACGTTTGCAAGCACTCATGGCTCTGAACATGTGATCATACCACATGTGCACACGTGTGTGCCCAGAATGCAGTCAGCTATATGTGACTGTGAGAGCACTGCACACGCCCACACCCACAGGTGAGATTGTGAATCACAAGGTCCAGTATGTGTGTATGCCTCGCTGCACACAGAGAATGAGGCAGAGCATATCAGAAACAAGAAGAGAAATAGGGTTAAATGATGCGCACTTGAGGGGGTTCAGGGACCAGGTCTGGCCTAGTGGAGATGCAGACCCCTCCCCGGTCCCATGGCCACCCAGAGGATGCTGGTCTGAGCTCCTCTGTGTGTTGGAGGTGTGTGGAGTGCAAACTGCCCAGGGTGGTGGGGGTGGGGTGGGGGCGGGGCGGGATGGGGGCAGGGACAGAGCTGAGCCAACCATGGGGGGGGGGGTCTCACCCACGCGGCCAGACTTGGTGATCTCGTTCAGCGCGCGGAGCAGGTCACCCCCCAGCTTCTTGACGTTGATGAGATCGTCCAGCATGGAGTAGGAGAGGTCCATGAGGTAGTACAGGTCAATGGGGTAGCCCTCCGCCCGCCGGAAAGTCACATTGAATGCAGCCTCCTGACCTGTGGCGGGATGGGCTCAGGAAGCACACCCACACTCCCCACGCGCGCTCCAGACCTGGGAGCACGCTCCCCACGCGCGTTCCAGACCTGGGAGCACGCTCCCCACACGCTCCAGACCTCGGAGCACGCTCCCCACGCGCTCCAGACCTCGGAGCACGCTCCCCACAGGCGCTCCAGACCTCGGAGCACGCTCCCCATGCGCGCTCCAGACCTGGGGGCACGCTCCCCACAGGCGCTCCAGACCTCGGAGCACGCTCCCCACGCGCTCCAGACCTCGGAGCACGCTCCCCACAGGCGCTCCAGACCTTGGAGCACGCTCCCCACGCGCGCTCCAGACCTGGGGGCACGCTCCCCACAGGCGCTCCAGACCTGGGGGCACGCTCCCCACAGGCGCTCCAGACCTGGGAGCACGCTCCCCACGCGCGCTCCAGACCTCGGAGCACGCTCCCCACGCGCGCTCCAGACCTCGGAGCACGCTCCCCACGCGCGCTCCAGACCTCGGAGCACGCTCCCCACGCGTGCTCCAGACCTGGGAGCACGCTCCCCACAGGCGCTCCAGACCTGGGGGCACGCTCCCCACAGGCGCTCCAGACCTGGGGGCACGCTCCCCACAGGCGCTCCAGACCTGGGGGCACGCTCCCCACAGGCGCTCCAGACCTGGGGCCACGCTCCCCACAGGCGCTCCAGACCTGGGAGCACGCTCCCCACGCGCGCTCCAGACCTCGGAGCACGCTCCCCACGCACGCTCCAGACCTGGGAGCACGCTCCCCACGCGCGCTCCAGACCTGGGGGCACGCTCCCCACGCGCACTCCAGACCTGGGGGCACACTCCCCACAGGCGCTCCAGACCTCGGAGCTCGCTCCCCACGCGCCTCTGTGAGTGCCTAGGGTGCAAGGTGGTGTCCCCAAGGCCTGCGGCATGGGGAGCTGCCTCTCTATCCCACAAGTGTGGCCGTGCCGTGCCTGACTCAGTTTCCTTGCTGAGAAATGGTGTCTGCGATGACGCCCCGGTGCTGCCCTCAGAGGGCGGTGGGAGCTCATGAGGTCATAAGCAGAGGGACCTGTGCCAGTTCACAGGCAGGAGGGGCAGGCTCTGTCTCCAGCTGACCCCAGGACGTCTGTCCCTGCATGCGCTGGCCCTGGGGCTCCTCCCTAGGCCCGCGCCTCACGCCTTGCCTGCTGTTGGCTCTCCGGATGTCCTTGTTTGCCGACTTTGACCTGTGTCTACAGCCAAGCTCCGGCCTGGGCTTCCAGGGGTGGGGTCCCAGAGCCCTCAGACGCGGCTTCCTCGCCCACCCGCTGTGCTCTCCCTGCAGCCACCCCTGGCCTTCCCACGTGGCAGCGAGCAGGGATGAGCCTGTCCTCACCAACCTGAAATGGCCCAGCAGCACTGGGCCATGAGGGCAGACCCTTCCGCTCTCCCCCCCCCCCCCCCCGCCACTCCCCTCCCCAGCCCGGCCTAAGCAGCACCAGGGCTGTGCTCTGAAACAGGAGCTGTGGTCTCGGGCTGCTGGCCAATCCTGGTTCCCCAGATTCTTGGCTCTTATCTGAACTTCTGCCAAGAGTGCACTGGCCTTCTGAGGGTGGACGAGAACAGTGTTTTCCCAATAGCATGTTCTTTGTGCTAAATAACACCTCAAAACAGAGGCCAGACCCTCGGCCACAGACAGGACACTGGGGGACACTTGCCTGGGGCACAGAGAGAGGAAGGGGCATGGTGGAGGTCAGAGTTAGGTCATGAGGTCCCCACAGCCCTCAGGCTTTCCCTGGCCCACCTCGCTGTCCATCCTGGACACATGCCCAGGTGGTCAGCCCTGGTCGCCCAAGTGAGCTAAGTTCACCACACAGGTATCACGCCTACCTGGCCGCAGGTGAAGGGTCACGTGCTGTGGGGACAGCTGTGTGCTGCCCCTCTGCGGGTCTTTCTGGGGCATGGCAAAGCTCCTGGGGTCCAGGATGTTGTCCGCCTCACAGCCCTTCTTCTGCAGCTGCTCCCGGGTGTCACAGCGGGTGGAGTCAGGCTCCCCTTGGTCTGTGAAGTTCTGGGGGGGGGGGGCGGCTGACTCAGGGGAGGCTGTAGGACCAGCTGTGCCCTTGTCTATGCTCAGACTTGGGGAGAGAACCCCCTGGAGGGGGGTACAGTGGCCAGGGAAGACCCCAGCCTCCCAGACAGCTTCCCCGGGAGCCCAGGCAGACCGGAGTCAGACACAGGCCCTCCTCCCACCCCTGGCCACTGTGCCAGGCAGCTGGAGGGGCTCCAGCCCATGGGCTGATCCTTGAGGGCAGCCTGGGAGACCCAGCAGTTCAGGGCAGCCTCGTCACCAGCACTGTCCCATGGCAGGGCCTGTGTCCTGGGAGCTGCCCACCAAGGGGACATGTGCTCATTCTCTCCAGCAGTGTGACCACCCTGGGACCCCCAGGAACCCTGGGACAGGAGACGACCAGAACTCAGGGCCAAGTGTCTTACCAGCTTCTGGCACCAGGCACAGCCAGGCCCCAGCTGGATACAATCCTGGCAGGAGTTGACCTTGTACTTGGTGCATTCCTGGGACAGGGCTGAGGAGACAGACTGGGTGAGTGGCTCCTGCCCTCCATGACCACCCTCAAGGGCAAGAAGGGGGAGGAGTGGGAGCAGGCGCAGGAGGAGGAGGAGGCAGAGAGGGGAAGAGAATCAGAGGAGAAGGGGAGGAGGGGAAGGGGAAGAGGGGAGGGCCAAAGAAAGGAAGAGAATCAGAGGAGAAGGGGAGGAGGAAGAGGGGAGGAAGGGAGGAGGAGCAGGAGGAGCGAGAAGCAGAGAGGGGAAGAAAAGAGAATCAGAGGAGAAGAGGAGGAGGAACAAGAGGATGAGGAGAATGAAAAGGAGGAAGAAGAGGAGGAGGAGACTTATGAGAGAAGGAGGAAGGGGAAGGGGAGGAGAAAGAAGGGCAATGAGAAGAGGAAGACAAGGAGGGGAGAAAGAAGGGGGAGGAAGAGGGAGGAGGAGGCCTGGGAAGGGACTTCAGGTCACTGTACACAGCCATGAGGGACACGCAGGACTAAGTACCCCCTGTTATGTGGGGGACAGAGGCCACATGGGGGACCTGCTCTGCAGGAATGGTCTTTTCTCAGCCCCCAGGGCTTGTACCAGGAAGATGGAAGTGCCCTGGAGTCCTGACCCCAGACCCACCCATGGAGCTGGTGCCCTTCCACACACACACACTGAGGTCCTGACCCAGGACCCACCCATGGAGCTGGTGCCCTTCCACACACACATTGAGGTCCTGACCTGGGACCCACCCACAGGACTGGTGCCCTTCCACACACACATTGAGGTCCTGACCTGGGACCTACCGACAGGGCTGGTGCCCCCACACACCATGATCCTGACCCGGGACCCATCCATGGGGCTAGGGCCCCACACACACCAAGATCCTGACCCGGGACCTGCCCAGGGGGCTGGCTCCACAGAACTCACCAGATCCTAGGAGAAGCTGCCCCACCAGGAAGAGCAGGAGGAGACGGCAGCTGGGCGTGGCCTGTGGAGGGGGAGGATGGTGACTGCGGGCCTGCACTTGCGCTAGCAGAGAGTGTGAGACCCGGTGCAACCCACACAGCCTGCCACTCTGAGTCCCAGTGCTGGGGACTGCCCAGAGAGAGCAGGGGCCAGGAATGTCCTGAAGGGACACACGCACATGCGTGTACACAGGCACACCACGCACACATGTACAGATATGCACACCTGGCTGTCATATGGATGCACATATACACATGCAGACATGTGTGCAATGCACCATACACACATCACACAAATGTATGTAAACACATCTGTACGTACACATGTGCCACAGGCACACAACATACTCCAAACAAACCTGGCATCCTACCTGAGTGGGCCAGGCAGAGCTTCTAGCATACCCTGTCAGTAGGTGAGCTTGGGCCTGGCACACAGGCAGGACTGGCCCTGGGCAAGTGGCAGGACTAGCACCAAATAACTAAGATGGCCTCAGGACTAGATGTGTGGGAGCCCGGGCTGCACCTTCCCTGAAAGTGGAACTGTCTGGGTGCTGCCCTCCCTCCTCTAGAAGGGCTCAGAGCGGCCCAGAGTCAGCTCCTGGGGTGCCTGGGTGCTCTGGGTGAGGTGAGGCAGCCTGACTGACCAGGGCAGGAGAACTTTGTAGCTGGCAGAGGCCTACTTACCTGATTGGCAAGAAGATTGCTCTCTGCCAGAGCCTGTATCAGAAATGAAATCAGGCCCCTCCCCAAGCAAGGGCCCGTCCTCCCACAGGGTGGGCACTGAGCCCACGGGGTGCCCTGTCTGCCCTGGAGTTGCCTCAGAGCTCAGAGCTGAGTGGATAGCCCCAGGCCAAGGGACCCCAACCCAGCACTGCCCATCCCGGGCACAACACCGGCCCTATGCTGTGGCCAAAGGGGCTTGGGTGCGTGGAGTCCACGGGTCCTGCACGTGTGCCCTGGCTCTGCAGTGGGGGACCTCCACTGGGGTTCTGGGCGACAGAGGCCCTGAAAGGCCCCTCAACCCTGCCCTTTCCAGGTGTCATGTCCCTCTCTGGAAAGATCACAGTCAGAGCCCAGAGCTGTCCAGACAGCCCTCAGTCCTTCCTGTTTGGCAATGAAGGAGGTGGTTTTGGTTGATCAGGACGGAGACCACCGCCGACCCCCTCACCTCCTCACCCCAGGACTCAAGCTCAGGTCGAGGTAGCGGTGGCTGCAGCAGAGCTCCCTGCTGCAATGCCAGAGGCCACTTTGGGTCTGCTGACCCCACAGGGGACATGGCCTGTCCCCAGGACTCACACCCTGGCACACAGAGCCCACGACTGTTCTGAGCAGAGAGCAAGAGCCACCCTCCCACAACACCCTAAACCACGAATGTAGCAGACGAAGTCAACCACCAGCTCCGGGTAATCACCTGTACTTTGTGCTCTCTCCCACAGCCACAGACTGGGGTTCCCTCCACAGCCTCCAAACACACCTGCACAGCCTGCATGTGAATGTTTCAGGCCCCCAAATAGGGACACTGGGGACCCGCCACAGCAGGACGCAGAGCTGCTGTCCTGTGCACCTATCCCCCCAGAGGGCTCCATCACAAGATCACCTCAGACCGCAGAGATAGACCTTGACCCCAGGAAGCAGGAGGCGGGCAGCGGTCTCTTGCCCTGCGTTGCACTCTGCTTGGTCCTGGGAGTCTCTCCGGGCCGTCTCCTGCCGCCAAGGCCACACAATGGCAGCTGTGGGAGCTGCCAGAGTGGATGGATGCAGGCCAAGCTCCAGGAGGTGAGGCGAGCCCCAGGCCTGTGACAGAGCCTTTGACAGAGACGGGAGAGGACCCCAGCCCAGTGGCCACCAGAGCTCTCCACCAGAGCCTTGATCTGACCTCTGACCTCCACCAGAGCCTTGATCTGACCCTCTGATCTCCACCAGAGCACCTTGATCTGTCCTCTGACCTCCACCAGAGCACCTTGATTTGACCCTCTGACTTCCACCAGAGCCTTGATCTGACCCTCTGCTCAGGAAGGGCTGGCGCCACCTCAGGAAGCAGTGACTGTCACCAAACCCCCGTACTGCTCTGGACAAAGGTGCTTAGGGTGCCCCCCACCCTCGATGCCCAAAAAGACCCGTCTCTGAGAGAGAAGGTCTGGAGTCCAGGCGCCGACAAGTGGCATTTGAAGGAAACAGACGCGTGTCTTCAGAGCACCGGCTTCCCATGGTGATAGAGAGAAAGAGGGAGCACCCAGAACGAAGACCATGAAACAGCAGGAGGGCTGAGAGGCAGGTGTTTGGATAAAAGCTGCCTGAGTCACTTCCTGTCACAGTTGTCACAAAGGCTTGCCGAGTTGCAAAACTGCACTCAGTCGACCTGAGAAACCCGAGGCCACGTGGGCCTTGCGAACACTGAGTCACGGAGTGACCCCGCCCTGCCTGGGGCCAGGAGCCCTGCTGTGCTGCCCGGCGAGGTGCTCACAGCAAGCAGGGGAAGATGGCACCGCAGAGGAGGAGGAGGAGAAGAAGAAGCAAAATCCAGTCTCCAAGGCCTGTCTCAGATAGAAAAAGCAAACATCTGGGGCAGAGCCCTCGGCAGACCCAAGGAGCAGGAACGACTGAGGAAAACTCCGAACCCCACACAAGCAAGCCTCCCCCCGTGTCTCAGGGACCGAAAGCTTCAAGGGCCACAGGTACTGACCAAAGGAACTAAATGCCTCCTTGAAGATTACTTTGGAGCTGGGTGCTGGTAGCTCACGCCTGTCATCCTAGCTACTCAGGAGGCTGAGATATGAGGATCGGTTCAAAGCCAGCCCAGGCAGGAAAGTCCGTGAAACTCTTATCTCCAATGAACTACCAGAAAACCGGAAGTGGTGCTCTGGCTCAAGTGGTACAGCACTTGCCTTGGGCTGAAGAGCTGAGGGATAGCGCCCAGGCCCAGAGTTCAAGCCCCATGGCTGACCAAACAACAACAACAACAAAATGATAACTTCAGAACCACTTGGAGAAACACTCTCACGTCCATATGGAAGTAAAATCTTCTGCACAGGCGTACTGCACGGGAGACGGCCCAGTCCGTGGGGAAGGATGCAGGGCCTCCACCCCAGCAACAGTGCTTTCACCGTGCACAACAAAGAAAAATGCGTTGTATAAATGTAATGTTAGCAGATAAAACCAAGAAATAGAAGACTATGTTTCTCAGAGCAGGGAAATCCAAGTGTAAAACCTAAGGGGAAAACATCAAGAAAAAAGAACCTAAAAATGACATGTTTCAGCCAAGAACAGTGGCTTACACCTTCAATCTCAGCTACTGTCCATCTGAGGACAGCTAGAGCAAAGAATGCCAGTTTTCATCTAACCCAGCAAGCTGGGTGTGGTAGCATGTACCTAGCTACAGAAATGGCACAGGTAGGAAGACCAAAGTCCAGTACAGCCCTAGACAAAAATGTTATTAGAAAGAACAAAAACAAAAGGCCGGGACATGGCTTGAGTGGTACAGCACCTGCCTGTCAAGTGCAAGGTCCTGAGTTCAAACCCCAAGTATTGCCACAAAAAAAGGAAACATGTTATAGACAACAAAGTGAATAGAAGAAACTAATCTTGATATCTAAAGAGACCTTAGAGGTTAATAACAGAAGATAAATATCTGAGGAAAGGCCGCTGTCAGAAAGATAATTCATGGAGCAGAAGCACATCTGGTTAGCAGTCTGCGCAGTCAGATCCAACCCTGCTCAGTCCCCATGCATCTGCCAGTCATGAGGACTGTGGAAGGCCCAGGCCACCGCACTGAGGTCAGGGACAGCACTGGGCAGGACTTCCACAGAAGCAGGACTGGGCATCCCGGCCCTTTGCCCTGTGTGCTCTCTGTGGGTCATTCTTGCTCCCTGTTCTGCTAGGGGCCTGCTCTGAGATCTTCGGCTCACTGCCCAAACCACACAGCCAGGACAGAGGGGCTGGAGCGCCTGTCAGCCCAGCCCCAGGGTGGAGTCTGTCACGCCTCTGCCCAGCTCTCTAGGGGGTATGGACAGCCACTCCCACCGCTGGCCTCTGTTTCTCCCCTTGTCATATGGAGAGCAGAGAATGTGGAGGTAGATATCATTTCACTGTGAGTGGGCCACAGGCATGGCCGGAATTCTGGCCATCACCACGCAGGTGCGTTTAGAGCAGGCCAGTGGACTCTGAACACAGCCTGTCTCGTGAAGTGTGGGAGACCACTTCCCGTCAGGCCAGGGGCACGCCTCAAGTGGGCCCGAGACAAGACGGAGCGGGGGAGGACACTCGAGGAACTGAAGAACAGCACTGTGGGCAGAGGTGGGGGCGGAGCCTCGACTTCCGGCTGGGGTCCAGGAGGCGGCAGCGCTGTGTGGGTTTCTTTGCTTGTTGCCACACACCCGTGGGTGCCACCCTGCCTGCACCTCCTGTGGTTCCTCTCGCCTGGGCTGGTGCGGAAGCTAGGTCTCTTGGATCTCTGACTCGGTTCCTGTTGCCTTGACCCCCATGTGGGTGGGCAATCCAGCCCCCCCATCCCTCAGAGGAGGAGGCCTGGCCAGGGCAGAGGTCTGCTGAGGCCACACCAACTTTTCTCTGGAATCTGGCCTGGCCTCCATCCCTCCCCTCTCTGGGGCCTGCTTCTGCACCAAGGGGCTGCTCTGACTGACTGCTGGGGGCCTGGACGCCAGCCCTGGCCAGTGAAAAAGCAGGCTAGAGGGACCGTGCCCTAGACTCACGGGCAAACGCGCCTCTAAGCCTGTCGTCTGTGGAGCTCCACTGCCCCCAAGTGCACAGTGTTGTTGGCCCGGGAGCTCCGGCTGTCCCTCCAAAGGAAGTGAGTTTACGCTCTGTTTGATTTCAGAGACAGGTGGAGTCCACACAGCTGGCCGGCTCACCATCCCTTTTCACGGCCAGGGAATGTGTCCCAGGGAGGCCAGAGGCCTCTTGTACTTGTCTCCCTGTGCTCCTCCAGTGAGCACACACCAGGCAGGGCAGTCCCCCTCCAAAGTTCTCCCCCCCCCCCCCCCCCCCCCCCCCCCCCCCGGGCCCCCTGGCTAGACTACCACAGGCAGGTTGCTGGTGACTGCTTGGCTGAACAACCCAGGGGAGGGCGAGGGGGCAGGAAGCCGGGTTTCCTTCCCCATCTGTGGTCCTCCACCAGGGAGGAGGCCACGGTGCCTGACTGGGCAAGCTTGACCCCGGCACCTCCACCCAGGGCTCCGCGGGCTGGGGGCGGAACCCCAGCTGCTGAGCTGAGCAGGGGCTGCCCACCACACGGCCGGGTGGCCTCAGGGACCCCGAGGCCATTCACCCGTGGCCGTGGAGGGCTTCCTCGTTTGGTCAGATGTGCGGGCCCCTGGGCAGGGAGGCCGAGGCGCGCGCGCTGGTGGCACGGGAGTCCCGGACCGGCACTTGGAGCCGGTCCCTCGGTGACATGCCGTCCCCAGCCGCCCCTCCACAAGGCAGCCGTGTGACCGGCCCCCAGCGCCCACGCGGCCGGCGTAGGCCCAGGGCCCGCACTCGCCCTGGCCTGGAGGCCCGGCTCAGGCCCCGCACTCGCCCCGGCCTTGAGGTCTGGCCCAGGGCCCGCACTCGCCCGAGCCTTGAGGCCCGGCCCAGGGCCCGCACTCGCCCCGGCCTTGAGGTCCGGCCCAGGCCCCGCACTCGCCCCAGCCTGGAGGCCCGGCTCAGGCCCCGCACTCGCCCCGGCCTTGAGGTCTGGCCCAGGGCCCGCACTCGCCCGAGCCTTGAGGCCCGGCCCAGGGCCCGCACTCGCCCCGGCCTTGAGGTCCGGCCCAGGCCCCGCACTCGCCCCAGCCTGGAGGCCCGGCTCAGGCCCCGCACTCGCCCCAGCCTTGAGGTCTGGCCCAGGGCCCGCACTCGCCCCGGCCTGGAGGTCTGGCCCAGGCCCCGCACTCGCCCCGGCCTGGAGGCCCGGCCCAGGCCCCGCACTCGCCCCGGCCGTGGGGCCCGGCCCGGCCCCGCTCTCGCCCCACGCAGCACCACAAGGCCAGACCCCCGCGGCCCTCTCGGTCACCGAGGCGGAGGCCCGGGGGCGCCCAGGGCTGAGGCCCGGGCGGGAGCCGCGGCGGACGCGGGACCTGACTCACCCCACGCGGCATCTCGGAGCTCGGGCGTCAGGCCGCGCTGGGTGGCGGGTGGCGGCGCCTGCTCCGGGCAGCAGGCTCCGCGGTCAAATCTGAAGACTCGGCGGTGGAAGCTTCCTGTTCAGTCAGCTCCTCAGAGGAAGTGGTGACAGGAGTGCTGCCGAGGCCCCACGGCCGGCTCGCCGAGGGCGGGGCCTGCCGCCGGGGAGGGCGGGGCCTGCCCGAGGGCGGGGCCTGCCCCGAGGGGTGGGGCCTGCCGCCAAGGGGTGGGGCCTGACCGAGGGGAGGGGCCTGCCCCGAGGGGTGGGGCCTGACCGAGGGGAGGGGCCTGCCCCGAGGGGTGGGGCCTGACCGAGGGGAGCGACCTGTTGCAAGGGGGACCTGCCTAGATGGGAGTGGCCTGCCCCTGATGGGCGGGGTCTGCCGCCAAGGAGGGTGGAGCCTGCTGCCGAGGAGGGTGGGGCTTGCCCCAAAGGGAGTGGCCTGTCGCAAAGGGGCGGGGGTCTGACCCAGATGGAAGGGGCCTGCCACCGAGGAGGGTGGGGTCTGCCGCCGAGGGGGCTGGGCCTGCCGCCGAGGGAGGGGCCTGCCCCACAGGCCGGCTCACGTGGCAGAGCAGCCGAGTCCGGCAAGCGAGAGGCCCCGAGGTCACACCCGGCACGCGCCAAGGAAAGAAGACAAGCCGAGGGGGTCGGGTGCATGGCCTCCTGAGCTCTGCTTAGGCCTGCGGACGGGCCTGCCACGGGGTGCCAGCGAGCACGGGAAGAAAGTCGTCCGCGGTCGCTGGCCCTCCAAACCGAGGCCACCCATCATCGGTCCTGACCGATGGGCAGGTGCCCACGGATGGGCAGCGGGCTCGGCTTCCCGGGGCGGCCCGGGACCCCGCGGGCGCCGCGCACAGCCGACCCCGGGGTGGCACCCGGGACGCAACCCCCGGGCTTAACAACGCAGGCAAAGTAGACAGGGGCCTGAGCTCGGCCAGGGGGCGCCGCAGCTGACCCGGGAGCCCAGGGGCCTCCGCCGCAGCTGACCCGGGAGCCCAGGCGGCCTCGGCGCAGCTGACCCGGGAGCCCAGGCGGCCTCGGCGCAGCTGACCCGGGAGCCCAGGCGGCAGGAAGCGCCGCAGCTGACCCGGGAGCCCAGGCGGCCTCGGCGCAGCTGACCCGGGAGCCCAGGCGGCAGGAAGCGCCGCAGCTGACCCGGGAGCACAGGCGGCCTCCGCCGCAGCTGACCCGGGAGCCCAGGCGGCAGGAAGCGCCGCAGCTGACCCGGGAGCCCAGGCGGCCTCCGCTGCAGGCTGTCCATCAAGAGCCCTTCTCTGAGGACGCATAGTGGAGGCCCTGCGCTGCAGCCAGGGACCGCGCCACAGCCAGGGACCTGCGACTGAGGGGAGACGGCACAGCCACCCCTCTCTAGGGCCCGTGCTCCTGGCCTTGTCCAGATGTGGCCAGGTGAGGCTGTCCGTTGGAATGTGGGCTGATAACAGAAAGCCCACAGGTAACCGTGAAATTGCACACCTGGCCCGGAGTTGATGTCATCCCCCCCTGACCTTTGCCCTTCTGATGAATGACCCCAGTGTGAGTGTGTGTGTGCACACGTGCACGCACAGCCAGCGTGAACAAAGGTCAGGGTTCCCCCTTGAAATCCAGGCTTCTTTCTGACACCAGCCGGGTTTGCATCATCAGCAATGAACTCCCTTATCCTCTCTGAAAAGTGCTCTTGATGTCTGCTGGTTGCACTGCTGCAACATGAACAGTGGCCCCTCCGACACTACTGGCCCAGGAGCACGTCAAAGGCTGCGCACCGGCCTCTCGTGAAGCAGACTGATGAAATGCAAACCAAGATGGCAGCCAACTAAAAAGTATGGTCATTAGCTGTAAAAATAGTGGTTATTAACTGCCAGTTTATAGAAAATGAACTGAGGAATGTTCCAAGCGACCAAATAAGCAAACTCCAGGTGTGAGAAAGCACAACTCAAATAACAAATTTTAAGATTTAAGGGGGCTGGAGAGCCAGGCTCTGGTGGTTCACACCTGTAATCCTAGCTACTCAGGGGAGGCTGAGATTTGAAGGATCAAAGTTCAAAGCCATACTGGGAAAAAAAAGTCCATGAGACTTTATTAACAGCAGAAAGCTGGGTTGGAGGTGTGGTTCAAGTGGTAGAGTGCTAGTGGAGAAAGCAAGCTGAACAAATGGGAGGCCCCGAGGTTTTTTTTTGTTTTGTTTGGTTTTTGGGTCTGGTCATGGGGCCTGAACTCTGGGCCTGGGCGCTGTCCCTCAGCTGTTCAGCTCAAGGCTAGCGCTCTACCACTTGAGCCACGGCGCCACTTCCGGCTTTTTTCTTTTTGCTTATGTGGTGCTGAGGAATAGAACCCAGGGCCTCATGCATGCAAGGCAAGCGCTCTACCACTGAGCCACCTTCCCAGCCCCAGGCCCTGAGTTTTAAGACCCAGTGCCAGCAAATTAAAGGAGGAGGTGTGAATGCAAAATGTCCAGCAGAGACCTGTAGATTCAAAGATTTAAGAGACATCAACAGTCACAAGGCATGGGCCACACATTAAAAACTGTTCATTTTTTAGGTGTTATGAACAGGAGCCCCATCTTTTAGAGTTACATTTCAGCTTTTCTTCCATATATCAAGAGGTGAGGTTGGTCCGGCGGTTACTGGTAAAACCATAGTCAAAGCAAGGCTGGTCATGACTGATGATCGTAAAAGACAGGGACCTGGCAGTTCAGAAAATGCTTCTCTTGCTGGGCACCAGTGGCTCACACCTGTAATCCTAGGTACACAGGAGGCTGTGAACTTGCAGTTCAAAGCCAGCCCTGGCAGAAAAGTCCATCTTATCTCCAATTAACCACTAGAAAACTGGAAGTGGCACTGTGGCTCAAGTGATAGATGCTCACCGTGAGCTGAAGAGCTGAGGGACAGTGCCCAGGCCCAGAGTTCAAGCCCCACAACCAACAACAACAACAACAACAACAACAAAAAAATCCTTCTCTCTTCTTTAATGTCCATGTGAAATTTTCTATAGTAAAGATTAAAAAACAAGCTTTGTTCAGTGGGGAGAGGGTTTCAGTTTGCAGCATGGGGGTAGACAACACTCACACTCGCAGTAACTGAGACTGTACTCAATGCTCCTGAGCTTTATATCATGCAAATTTCATCACCACTGGGGGAAAAAACTTGAAAAATCAAGTGTGAAAGATGGTATCAGATAAACTGTTAAAATATCATCAAAGGCTTAAAAGAAGCAATGGAAAAAATATAATGTGTTAGAAAACACTTCAACAGAAATAGGACCCAGGTACATAGGCCAAGGACAAAGGAAAAAGACCCCAGAAGCCAGAAGGTCGAGGCCAAGCTGATCAGAAGGTCAAGGGAAGGAATGATGCAGGTTTGCACAATGTCCAAGACTCGCTTCTGGGCCAGGTGTGGGTGGAAATGACACCAAGAGCATACGCCCTGGGGTGCCCATCACACACTGGACCCGGAAAGACAGGAATGAGGGCATACCCAATTGCACTGCAAAAATGTTGAAGAGTGAACTAGAACCAAAGTCCACAGGAGGCCATTCTAAATGTAAACCTACAGCAGGAACTGCAAGATCAACGCCACACAGAGGATCTTAATAGGACTCGGAGTCTTACTGGACACTCTTCTAACCCATTGAAAGGAACTCCAGCAACAGCAACAAAGAAACTCAGAAAACAGGGACTCTAAAAACAGCTGATTCTGTGAAAGAATCACAGATATTTAAAGCAGCTACTATGCACAGGCTCTGTGAAGCAAGGACAAATGCAAAAGTAAAATTCCCAGCAGAAAAAAAAACAAATTCCTAGGAGAGACATAAAAAGCAATAACAATACTGAAAATTAAAAAATAGAGGGAGAAAGAAATACAATGTCACTGAATGGGCTTACTAGAATGAGGAAGAGAGCGGAAAGAGTGAGTTTGAGTACCAACAGCAATCACTCAATAGGAAGGATAGAAAAAGACTGATGAAAGGAAACTAGGAAGAGTGTTTCCCTGGAGACACAGATGTTCTAAAGAAATCCTAGGCAGAAGCAAAGCAATCGCAGAGAAGAACTTGGAAAGTTAGGAATAAAGGCAGTGGTAGAAATGAAGAATTACTTGAGTAGATAGATGGCTTTTCTCCTTTTCAGTGTGCTTACCATATAAGGCTGAAAGCAAAAAGTAGCATTGCCTGGTGGGCTCCCTGGGGCTCCCGGGGCTGAAACGTGCTATCACACAGTGGAGTCAGCAGGAACTTGAGTCACAAAGTTCTTCTGGGACTCAGGCTGTGTAGTTCAGTGGTTGAACTGTTGCTTAGTTTGTGTGACACCCTGGGTTCAATTCCCAGCAATGGAAAAATAAAGGAAAAGGAAAAGGAACTGACAAGTTGAATGAAACCCCTTTGTACAGCTACTTGGAGGTAACCGAAAGTTGTTTTTGTTTTTTTTTTTGGTTGGTTGTGGGGCTTGAACTCTGGGCCTGGGCGCTGTCCCTCAGCTCTTCAGCTCAAGGTGAGCGCTCTACCACTTGAGCCACAGTGCCACTTCCTTTTTTTTTTTCTGGTGGTTAATTGGAGATAAGAGTTTCATGGCCTTTCCTGCCTGGGCTGGCTTTGTACCACGATCCTCAGATCTCAGCCTCCTGAGTAGCTAGGATGACAGGCGTGAGCCACGGGCGCCCGGCTGAAAGTATTTTTTTAAAGAAAAATTTCTTGGGGTTGGAGGTGTGGTCCTGGTGATCCAGCACCAGCCAATGGGTGAGCGTATCAGATACTGAGGTTGAGTCCAGGTCTTAGACAAAAAAAAGTTTCTCTACATCTCATCTATGTGGGAAAATACTCATCTTCAATAGACAATGGAGTACCTAACATGGCATGTACACCAGAATCTATGGAGCAGCCACCAGAGGCCCACATGGCCATGCAGCAGAGCCACAGAGTGCACTGAAATTCCACTTTACCGATATCCACACAGCAGGACACAGGAAGCCCAGTGGGCAACCAGAAAACAGAATCCAAGCAGTGGTCTTAATGCCAGCAACTGCCTGGAGGGCAAAGGGGCGTAGTACATTGACTTCAAAGTTGATTCAGGAGCTGGGCACCGGTGGCTCACTCCTGTCATC